TTATCAATTTGTCTATTATTTACCACCAAAAAAACCCGGTCCGTGGTATTACATGGTGTGCTGTATGTCGAGCAGATTCCCTGGCTAACTAGCTGGCAGTTACGTTCGTATGCAGGGTCTTCGATCCAGGCTGAACCTTGAAACGGAAAAAATATTAATTGGGAGGGAGGCTAGTTGTTGCTGAGGTGTCAATTTGACGGCTGTTGGAGTTACGGACCTACTCCGCGTTAGTATTGTTGGAGTATCTGACATTGGTAGAGTACTTAGGTAAGGTACCGCAATATATGCCGTGCAGGACACTACATTCTTCCTTTCTCCTTCCCCTCTCTCTTTTCTTGCATATCAGAGGGTTTTAGCTGCATGAATTCGAGAATTTTGGCGGGATCTCGTGCCCCTATCAGTTACACAGCTCGAATTTTAGTCCAATTCGTGCTCTAGATTTATTTATGTTGTTGGCTACGGTGTGATATTGCGCCGTGGTGGTTGAAATGTGCAGCCGTCCACGGTCACACAATTACAAGCGTTCGGCTATTGCTCTAGCAGGCAGGGCTGCAGGTACGAGCGAGCGAACATGACTTCAGACTAGCTCATATATCCATGCAGGCAATTCGGGGGAGGCGGATCCTGTAGCTCCCGGAGCGCCGAGGTAGGGCCGATCGTCGGGTATTGTAAGCCGGGCGATCGGGGGCGGGTTGCTCTTCATATGGATGTCTAAATTCATGAACTTGCAGCAACGGGACAAGGAGAATGGAGGTCATTTAGGTATGTATTTACTCCACCTCACTAAGACACCGATCAATCGGGATCGAGTAGATTTGAGTGTTCGGGTATCTGGATGTTTAGTTAGATATCCAGACCAGGGGGTCGATTAGCAAGCAAGTCGACCCCGAAAATATTGCCATAAGCTTAGATTCTATCTCAGTTTCTTAGGCTCAGCTCAAACTCTATGGACCATGACGTCGGTCGTTCAAGGTCAAGGGTTTCTATATATATAATAGGGAACTTTGAGTAGTAATATTCTGCCTGAGCGAGCCCTACCCGATTTATGCACGGAATACAAGTGCCGTTGTGCACGTGCTCCTGGAGATATGTAGGGGGCCGGCAGGAAAACTTCGGCCAAAAAGATAGGTAGATGAGGTGGATTTGTAGTAGGGAAGGAGGGCCAATTGTTGGTTGGAGCTATACTCGGGGCCTTTGTAAAACATGGACCATCCTTGCAATGAAGTTTGTATCAGTGTCGTCGTAGACAGTCCTTGACTGAAAGTACTCATTCAGGATGACGTCTTTCTCGAGAAGTGGAGCTGTCAACGTCAAGTCGCCATCGCCGACGTCTACTTGTCATCGGAGCGAGTAAATCGCTAGCTAGTACCAGGGTGTGGTATTGTATGTATCGAGTTATTTCGACGAATGATGTTTACAGAATATTCCTCTAAAGGGAGGTGTTAGTAAAGAGTTCCGACTAGATTATACTGGATCCGACAGTAATAGGGGATCAACCTTCTACACACGTGGCCAGCTATGCAGCACATGCTCAGGTGTTATAATTATCATGAACCTCATGGTGTTTCCAGGGTCTCACACTATTTCAGATTGATGGGAGAGGCTGGGCCAATTGAATTAAGTAACGGACGAAGAACAAAAATGGGAGAAACTGTCTTCTCTTGGATAAATATACTTAGAAAGCAAGATCTTAAGAACAGGTGTTGGAAGACTAACAAAGTACATATATTTCCATATTTACGTGTCTATAACGTAAGAACATACAGACATCGTTGTCCTCAAATAACTCCATGTAATTTCTCTCTGCTGATAAATAAAATCATGCATGGCATCTACTGTTGAGGCTCATTTAAACAACGCTCTCGATGGAGATCTAGAGGATGAAGCCCGGAGGTTCATTCTCATCCCCATACGACACGCAAAGCTGTCTATTCTTCGAGTCAGTGCACCAGTCTTCGCTTTCTCGGGATAACACCACAGACTAATAGTCTAGAAGCGCACATACATACATGTACGTACGCGCACCAATACGAGACAGACATTTCGTTCGAGTCGCTTCTGGCGGCTGCAGCGCTATGGCCGCTTGTGCCACAACCCCCGAGGCTAGCAGGATTCCGGGAAACGTCATTACTGCTCTCGGGAGCGGCCGCAACCTTATCGCCACGCGACAACCAACGACGACCGAAGGAAGGATATGATATGACTCAGCTGGCTGTCGGGGTGGAGTTTGGATTACTGCATGAGTATTTGGTTATGTAAGACCCGTGCTTCAAAGTCTAACTAGTCTCTGTGGGTGAAAATGCGCTACTAGCTTGTGAACATGGAATCACTAACGTAACTACACTTACAGTAACTACATCTCCAGATTCCACTTGCAATCGTGTCTGACCCGACCGATGACTGGGGCTGACCTTATGTGGGGGAATATATGTACCTATTATCGTCCTTTTAACCCCTCCCGTGCAGCACGGTGAAGAATCAATACCGCCTCGGCCTTTTCTCGGCTTATTCTTCACATTTACAGAACGGACCCGAAGCCATGCAAGATGGACTATGGGTGTAATTGTGAGTGCTTACTCTCTAATCGCAGAGAGCAAAGTATACATGGACGTAAGGTAAAGCTCGTCCGTGCCACTTTAGGCTATAGGAGAATTGCTTACTTGGCTAGTTACTTGTAAAAGTTACGTGCATATCTTAGATATTAATATATTCTTTGGTGTGTAGATACTGGGGGTTGAACTCTGGCCACACATCCTCTCATGCTGCAGAATATCTTCATGAGATTCAGAACTCCAGACGTCATTCTAAGAGGAAGACGTAGATGCGTTGCGTACCTAAAGAGCACTACCTAAGCAGAATGCTACTCTACGATATTACGCGCATGTGCGAAGCACACCAACAACCGGGTCATCATCAGCTAGTTTGATACCAGCAGTAAGGAAAAGTCTCATGATATACGAGTCAAAGGGCGGTGAAGAGAGAAAGGAAAAAGAAAGGAAAAAAGGCTCACAGGGATAAATAAATGAACTTGTAGATTCAATTAACTAAAGGAGACATCGTTGGGTTGATAGCTCAGGTCCGCGAAAACGCTCCGAGCTTCCAAGCACCAAAACAGTAACCAGCCACGCGAGCATGTCTCTCCCCGGTCCCCCGGTCCCCCATCCCCGGAAGTACGGAGGCTGTCTTAGCTCACGTGTAGGCAGGGGTGGGTATGATCTGCACACACTTCAGTTTAGTGAACGTACCCACCATCTATGCACAAAATAGAGACATAATATATAGGACTTTGACATTAATATTACGGACAACCCGGCATTTACGTGTAGAAAACGAGGTCTAGACTCTCAATATCCCGAGCACTTGTTCACGATCACCGTTTCGAAAAATTTAAGGGCGGCAACGGCAGTATGAGCCTAGCTTGGAGAGGCATTTTAATTCGATCGATTGATTGATTGGTCTGGAATTAGTGGACTCACGATGTGAGGACTGATCAATCAACAACATATGATTCATCATGTTTGAAGGGGTAAGCAAATCGAAGAAGAAGGAGGTCTTATCGATGATCTATAGTTATGGGGCCGACTGTATCACTCAACGACTTTCATATTAAAATTTTCTGTGCCCTCACATTTGCAAATTCGGTAACTCTGACAGCTACTGCCGTATGAAATTAAAACTACGTACGTATATATAACTGCATCTATTAATACACAAGTTAAGTCCCATAATATGTTATAGAACCCCCGTATGCTGTCTACTTGTAACGATGTATATTGCACTATGCATGTTGCGATATCCACATGTACCCCATCACCCCCTCCCCACATGAACCAACCCCCAAGGGCTCTAAACACGCGAGCATGTCGTTTTGAAGCAGGCTGTGCATAAAAAACCTTAATTCAACGTCAACTGGCCTGGTATGTAGCCACTTATGTACATGTAGCTCCATGCTTATGCGGTTGTTCATGATTACATGTATGCGTATGAAACCCAGTCGATGCTATGTAGGCCGCGGCTATGGCGTTGATAAGCTTTAGTACATGTAGGTACATGTAGTTACTTGTCTCTACGTATTCTTGAATTTCCCGAAACATAGCCCATACTACAACGTAGTATAATCAGCATAAGCGTTGGATACTACATGTAGCTTACTTGACAACATAATCATAATGGAATCGATATCAATATACCCGCCACGGGACGCATTGGAAGTACGAACCTCGTAAGACCTCTATATCTTCTATTCATCGGTGCTATAATGTTATTACATGTAGTTAAGCATAGTCATTATACAGAAGTTCTTCACGAAAAATAATCTAACGGTACCCACATACTAGCTTCCACCATAGTTGCAACCCGGAAGGTCGGCGGTAACGTATCGTGGCAATTAGTAACTATGTGGATACACACCTAACCCTCCTTATGTCAACACCGCCAAGCTAATGTCAAGAATCCTTACGGTATGGCTGCATTCAATAATTTTAAGTAAGACTGGTTATTTGGGTGAGAGGGGTATTTGAGCTACATGGTGGAGGGTGTGGAACTGTAGCTGGTCTGGTGCTATCTTGAATATGCTGCAGTACCTGCACGTGCACCGCTTACTCTTCTCATGATCAATTACCAAGCGTCAGCTAATAATTAATTTTAAACGCTTGTCTTCTAGAATCGAATCGACATTTAATATGCAGCCAAGTAGTGCAACTAGCTAAATCTCAAGCAGGCTAGGCCCATGGAAACATTCTGATCATGAAATATCACTCGAGGGCTAGGGTTTCTGCCTCCCTCTCCAAGACTAACGGCCTAACTCAAAACATTTTTTCTAGACACCATTTTGTATTTATTCTATCATCGTCGTTCTAATCAATTCATAGCATCGAACGGTCTAAATAATGTTAAAAGTGAAATCAATAGGCATGTTGCACTAGTCAAGATCATTCTTCTAAATCGCTGAATTCAACATCGCTGCTTATCATGATATATATCAGTGGTAATAAAAACCACTATGATCGCCACATTGAGCAAGAACTCCTACTCCTCATCGGAGGACAGCAGTAAGGGGTCGCCACAGCATCCGAGGGCGCCGCAGATGCACCCTTCGGCTTCCACCCAATAAACTCTCGCCAACTCGTCGTCGTCAAAATAGCCGTAATAACCATCCCCACCATACTGGGGGTTGGAGGGTCTATGTATTGCTCGGTATCAGTTTCGGACATACTTCCACTTAGATAAGCAGTGTTTTCGGGCCCGAGTGCATGGCTATCCTCTTCGCCACTATCGCATAAAGAGTTATCATGACCGCCACAACATTCAGCGATGCCGCGCATGTAGTTGTTATTAGTACGGCCATTAGCTTCCAACAAACGAGTTCCCTCCCCTTTCTCGTTAACAAAGTCGTAGAAATCCAAGCCGGGTGACTTCTCTCTAGACTGAGCCATGAGACAAGCAGATCCTGGACCGTATCCGTTAATAGTTGCAGGGCCACTGCTGTCTATGCAATAATCACTTTCGTGATTGAAGGCATATGTATCTTCTTCACCGCTGTACTCGATCTGGGAATAGTAACATGAGGTGTCATGGTGGACGAGACATTGGACGATGTCGCATCTGCACTCGTTACTAGAACGGAGGTCATTTTCGTCCAACTGGCGGCAAGCTTCCATCCAGATGTCCCGTTTCTCTTTATTTCGTTTATCACTGACTTTCCAGACATATTGCTCTTCCAGGGAGCGGGCATACTCCTCTTCGTGATCAAAGTACGTGCGGTAATCAAAGCCGCACGCCTTCTCAACGCAATAGTCTGTGAGCGCGACCGTGTCAAATGAAGACTCTAGAGGATTCTCGGCATCGAAAGCGTCATTAAGGGCACGGAGGTTAAATGTGTTTAAGTCGAGTCTTCTAGGTAATTGTGCATTGAGGTTAAATGTGCTTAAGTCGTGTACTCTTTTAGGTAATTTGTGGCATGACCGCATTTTGAAGACAGAGTGATGATTTGGTGTACTTGTGGCCGCTATGGCTCTTGTTGGTACAGTGAGAGAGTGAGGAAAAGGCGAAGGAAGTCATACTGATCTTCTGACTATTGCTGTGAATAACTAAGTATTGTTAATTAGTTGAAGGCTTGTGTTGTGTGAATGTAGGTATTCGATGATATCAGATAGAACAGATGAATATTGATGGTAAGGAATGAAGTTAGAGTCCTTAAGCTCCGTATTTATACGGTAATGGTAGATATTGATCCTGTGAAAAATAGTGCATTTTGAAATCTTGGTTACTTGAAAGGTGAGTGGGAGCATAAGGCTCCGATCTGGTCATGATACATGCAGACATTCTAGACTTGAAAAATCTTTAGTTATTGCGAACCTTTCATGACACTCATATTGTAGTAAGAAACCTAATAAAACCTTCAGAATTGAACAATTTCCAACAATATCGAATAGATATATGGGGAAATTCTGCAGTGCATATATCACCTAGCTAGATAGCATGTAATGAAATGCATGTTGCTCCGCCACCAATCCACACCAATCCAAGTATCTGGAGAAAGGATCTTTAAGACAGCCGGTACCAAGATGTGTCTTGAATTGCCCAAGTATGGCTTGTAAATAAATCATGATGGTCGTTTATTGTGATGATAACGATTGTAACACGGTCGGTGGTGGTGACGATGGCAGTGTCTGTATCCATGGTGATGTCAGGGTTTAGTTAATTCAGACCGCTCGGGGATAAGGCTACGGTTATATTATATTTGAGGAATCCCAGGTGGAGGTGTAAACTGATGCCATCTATTCCTGTGCAAGTGAGGCCAGATCAACCTAGCTCACAAAGCATCTTAGCTCGAAGAAACATGGATAGAGAGCATGGAGAATCAACCTCAACCTAGGCCTACGCACGCGGACGATATCAAATAATTCATATGCCATGCCATATATATCAATTACTACATATATACAACAGTATCGAATCAAGCTAGCCATATGCACTCCATGTCCCAATTATAAAGCAATAAAACACCAATCCCATGTTCCTTCCACCACCACTAACCAGAGCTAGAGTAGGGTATGATAATCAAAAAACGCCATAAAACACCAACGGCACCGTACCGTACCCAAACAAAGAACCACCATCCCACACTAAATCACCGCCACTAACACCGCAACCGCAATTCCACCCACCACCTGTCTCCACGTGCTCATGATCTTTGTTCCTGGCGTCGAGGAATCGGTTCGTTTCTGCACTTCTGGTGCAGATGTCTGGTTCTCATGGGTCTGTACTTGCACTGTCTGCTGTGTACTCTGGAAATGGAGGTCTTTGGGGAGCTCGAGGTCAGCTATGTTGCTGTTATCGAAGGCATTATATCTATAAGTCGGTTTACTATTAGTCTGGCCGCTGATGCCGGAGGTGTAGGTGATTAATGAGTGCGTACCGTTGCACTAGGACATCCTGCACAGCCAACGAGTCTCGAGAATTTTCGACACTTCCAACCGCTTTGCAAGTAGCCGCCGTTGCAAGCAGAGCTATGGTAACGAATCGCATGACCGCTGTTTACTTCTTTTATTTCTTTCCTCTCGATGCTGTAGTAGTAGTTGAGAAAGGCCGTCACGAACCCTCCTCTGGTATTTCCCTCTCCAGTAGAAAAGAGCAGCACTCCTTTTGAATTATTCGATAGAATAAGGAATTTTTGAAAGTGGCACCCCTTCTATCCCACGAGGGGAAACAACAACAATATATACTCTGCTCTCCCCGGTCCATCACACACTACCTTTTCTTCCGTTCAAGGAATTAACCAATAACCAATTTACTAATTACGAGGGAGGAAGGAGTAGTCTCGTCTTAACCCCGGCGGCTTACTTCAGCCGCATGACTGGACACCACACACACCACACCATGCCATATATAATCGTTCGAGGATTGGGTATGGATGGGCATATAAGCATACCATGCAGGAAATTAAGAACATTCTATTGACTGGACTGACGTGACTCCTTGACTCCTTGCAAGATGTACCTCGTACTCGTATATTCATGACCTTTCCGAACACGACCAATATTGCATGACATACAAAAAGGTGGATTTGGTGCTTTTTTGTATGGCATGCAATAGCGGTCGTGTTCGGAAACGTTATGAAATTACGAGTACTGTGTTGGAATATGTTTACAAAGCTACGCACAGTGAGTTACAGACGCATTCAACTCGCAATTCAGTACAGTGCAGCGGTAAAAGACAGTGTACTCTAAAAAGCCACGACTCATGCCCCATACTACTACTCACAGCTTCGCACAAACTAGTTTAAAAAAAAAATGAGGGAAAAAAAGGAAAAAAAAGCGGCACCAGCGGGGTTGTTTTCGGCCGCCGGAAGCTGTTCGTGTCCGGGCCCGAAGGCTTGACAGGCAGGCAGCGGTTTCCATCAAGCCGCACGCGGGTAATTACTAAGAACGGATTAGGTAGATCATTCCTTAGTGATGTTCAACGACCGTTAACATTCCAGATCACCCATGTGTTTTTCGTTTCCTTTTTCTCTTTTTCTCTTTTTCTCTTTCATTCTTTCATTCTTTCATCATCCTCTAGCTGCCGATAGAGTAGGAAGTTAATTCTTCGTCTTTACTCTGCTTTGGATGGGTGGGTGTCCATGGTGGTGTTGGTGGTGGTGTTAGTGCATGGGGCAGGATAATGGGTATCTAACGAGTTTCCCCCCCCCCTCTCCCCTCTGCTGTAGATAACACCGATACGATATCGATACGATAGAATGGAATGTGTCCGAGAGAAGACATCACATCTCCTCTCCCCGGATCCTCCTCGTCCACCAATCCAATCCCGCCCTGGTCCTCCCAGATCAGCCACCATGAATATCACTGAGTAAAGTCCCCGAAACAACAGCACTCCACCCCAAATCAAACGAATCCACGCCGAACAAAGCGAGACAAAGCCAAACACTCGTCTACCCCAGGATATCTATCCCAGAATACAAGTACCTACATAGAACACGAAACATCAACATCACTGCCATGAATTTACCCCGGAGTAAGTAAAAATAAACCCTAACCTGTCCTTGGTCTCCACGTTGGAGCCGTTGCACTGCAACCACTGCAACCACACAACCACACACACTCACAACACACAAAACATACTTACTCGTAGTTTTCTAACGTTTCCGAACTAGACTAAGTCTATATATGGGCGAAAATCGTGCATGACAACCAGATTTTGGTGGTATGCAGACCCAGTCCAGTTCGGAAACGTTAGAAAACTACGAGTACACAACCCAACAGGATGGGCTCGTCCCGCAGCTAAGCCTTTTCGTTGCCTGGTCCAATAGGGATTTCAGATAGCAACGTTCCACAGGAAACGAACATGGGGCCGCACCGGCGAACACATCACTGGTTACAGCATGTTGATCTATGTAGGCAAAGGGGGAGTGATCTTTATCGCGGTTTACTACGTGCTAAACCGTGTGAGCTGAGGGAGGATGTGGCTATCCGCCGTTGTCAATGATAATTAACAGATAGGTGTTTGGCATAGAGTACTGACATGACGGAGTTAGGGTATTGAGTGGAGCCGGACCGTAAGAGTACACATGGGCGATATTACTCTGCTCTTTTTTTTGCGGGTGTGCCGCGCAATAGCAAGTCTCTAGGGTGAAGGTAAAAAGGTAGTGCGTGGGAATAGTTAGTGAGGAGTACTATGATTGCTCAAAACCTTGGGTAGCGATTCCGCACTCTGGGATGGACCCGGGGTGGTACAAAAACGGGTACTCCGAGATTCAAGATCTGGCCATTCATCCCTGCATGTATGTATCCTGCTCTGGAGGTAAGTACTACTTGCAAAAGTAAGTATGTACCTACATCGGGAGTGAGCCGGGGGGGATTCAGTCTGTCAACACCAGACAGACAGGCAGCTTCCTGGGGTCAAGCCTACTACCATGTGCTAGGAGTAGGGTATCTGTGATAGCCCTGGTTCTGGGTAGTGAAAGTAGACACTGTACCAACTGTCTGCCTACACCGCGTGCCTGTCCATGGATTTTCCCTGTACTCGCAGTTCAGCATTGCATACAGTTGACTCCAGGTCTTTTTGGCAGTCTGCCCTATTCTACCTAGTAATGTCAATTAATTCCTATGGTTTTATGGCAAAATATTCAGGGCGGTCTTAATCAGTCCGCTCATAGTACCTACTGGAACCTACATATACGAAAACATCGCAAATTGTCATTGATACCCTTAAAAAGATAGGATTAGGTTTTTCCGCCCCGTCAAAGACAACCATGAGAACGATTGATTACTGATTTATTCATTAAGTAGACCACTAGAATGAGCTCTCATAAGGGAGGCATAATTTATCAACCTATTACATACCTACCTGCCACCTCCTTCTCCTCCGCATCCTCAAAACTCAGAACTGAAAATATCTACTTTATAAATAACCCTAACCCTACTTAATAAGAGCCGAAGAAGAAAAGAAAAAAAGGCCTCGGGCAACAGCTCCGGATCCCACATATCCAGACAAAAGACCCTACCGAATTATAAAGCGACTACCCTCCCTCCCTCCCTCCCTCCCTCCCTTCTCTTGATCCTATAGCACGGTCTCGCTATATATATATATATATGGCACGATCAACCTCGACTGACATATCAGAGCATATCTATACCCAATAGCACCACTTACCCAACTATCCAACATACCCAACCTACATACCACCAGTAACGAGGCTGCGGGTGCCGTTCTGAAACACTCTGCTGCTCGCTCGCAGCTCGCTGCCGTGATTACTTGGCTTACAAACATGCCGAATCTATAGGCCGGCACGATCCCAAGCGCGCGCCAAACCCGGCCCCGGGGGGGGGGGGGGGGGGGGGCGTTATTACGTACTATACTGTGCGGTACACTAATTGCAACATAAAGGGTGGTTTCAGATCGTACCGTGTACCCGTTGCGGTGTGTAGATTTCTGGTGGCGATCTCCCGTTGTTTCTTGCTTGACTGTTGGGGGGTTGGGGGTGCGCGTGGGGGTGCGGAGGGGAGGGAGGGAATGGTGGTGAGGTGATGATGGTGATGATGAGGTAGTAGGAGTGGTCATGGTGACGTTGGGAGTTGTGTTTTTGTGGGAAAGTGGGAAGTGGGATTTGGGGATTCTGAGTGGTCGGTGGTGTTGGTGATGTGTTGTGGGGAATTAATTCGGTGCATGGAATATCACTCGGTCTTCTGGTTACGGTGCGGGATGTGGGTCTGTTATCATTACCATGTCATTGGTCTACTAGAGGGTTCCGACTATTGTGCGATGCTTTAGAGGTGGGTGAATACTGTGTTCAAGCTTGCCAAGGAGTCAATTTCTAAATTCAAGTCTATCTACACACTAAATAATATCACCAGATATCACTCGAACTTAACACATGCACATGTTTAACAACCTGTACTAACAACCACTGCTACAAAAACCACAAACATCACAATCAATGCGCACAAAGCAGGATAGTAAATGTTTCTTAAATAGTAGTGTCATATCATGAAGCCCTAAAGCCCAATCCGATGTATTCATACCACATGCTCCACCGCACATTCATCGATCCCTTTCGGATCCACCCCTACGTATACTACACCACACTCTCCCCAATCCATAAGTAATAAAAGACGTCTACCAGCGTAAAAATATATATGCATCCAGAAAAAGAAGAAAAAGTCGCCGACCGTGGCATGCTCGCTGACCTCGCTCGCTCAAGTAAACAGACCAGAGGTCGACCATACACAATAAACAAATCTAGAGGATGAACTCCATACCAGAAGTCAAAGAGAGAAGAGAACAAAGAAAAGAGTTGACAAATGTGTGGTCCACCCAGCCCAGCCCCGACGGACCTGAAGGAATGGATAGAATAAAGCAGAAAAGACGGGGGAAAAAAACGTTACCGCCAAAAGAAAACTAAACCGTAGGAATGGGATATCAAAATGCTAAATGCAAATAAAAGGGAAAAAAACGCCCCGGACCCCCCAAGAATGAAGAAAATAACAGTACAATGAATCACAAGAAGCCCGCCCGCTCGCTCGAAAAAAAGAAAATCAACGCCCATGGAATAAAAAAAAAACCGCACCAGCGCACAAGAATACAAAAAATTACATCAAAACAGTGTCATGCGAGAAACGAAAACAACATAAAAAAAAGGGCTATGCAAAAAAAATGCAAGGTCGCAGGTCAGCGTAATACTCATAAGTGGCATCAATGATGACGCAGGCTCGTTCGCCTTATGTCCTTCGACTCCGCCCACTCTTCGCTCTTTTTCCCTCACTCACACCTGCCTCCGGCGCCGGTGGCAAGTCAAGCCTGTACCTCCTGACACTGCCATTGTCCTCGCCCTCCCAGAAAACTCTCTTCCGTCCTCCCAATCCGCATAGCCATCTCCTCCAGCCCTTCATCTCTTTATCAGCCTCCTCATATTCCCTCCGTCTCGCCTCGTCACCTTTCCAATCAATCGTCACTGCACCCAGCCCGACCACTGGCGCTCCAAACACAGATTCCGGCCTTACATGCGCCCTTGGCGGCGCCTCCACACCTGGTAGTCTGTAATGGTCTTCGGAGGTCGTCGGCGAGGTGACATAGATGCTCGACTGGCGTCGAGATGGTGGCGGTGGGTATTTTTGATACCGTGTTGAAGATCTCCGAGTCGCTGTGCTTGTGGCCGCAGTTGATGCGGAGCGTCCAGAACGTCCAGAACGCTGGGTAGATGCCGATCCGCTAGACACACTTTCTCGTCGCTCGCGGCCGCCTTTCTCGCTGGTAGGTGATACAAGGATGCCACTGTCGGAACGCATCACTGGATTGAACTCGCACCCGTTATCATGGGTGTCAGGAGCTATAGCCGACCAGAAGGTTGTATTTGAGCTGGTTTTTTCAGAGAGGTTGGAGGTAAGTTGGAGATGAGGCCGGGGTCGGGGGGCGGGGGAGAGACCCGTTAGCTCCGGGGTTGCGCTGGGTGTGATAGACATGTACGAGAGGGGTGAGTCCTGACGGAAAGTTGTGTACATTTTGTATGTTGTTAACGGGTTATAACTGTACTCGAGACCAGTCGTGCAGAGTACAGAATTATATATGCGTAATTAAAACGCTAAAGTAAAAGTGAGAGATGTAGAAATAGTTTATTACACGCCGTCTTTAATATCTCCGCCAGATAATAGTAATAGTAGTAGTAATGGTAATGGACAAAGATCGTGGTAGTGGTGGTGGAAACAGATAGTGATAGTGTTATTAGGCAGTCGCAGTAGTAGTAGCAGTAGCAGCAGCAGTAGTAGTAAGTAGTAGTACCAGTAGGTAGTATACTAGTAGAGAAATAGTCAAACAATCGTTGTCGACTCCAGGAATAGTCAAATCGAACCGAAAACCGTATCGCGAGATGCGGCGCTGAAGAAGTAAAAAAAAATGCAAAGTCACGTAGTAGCAGTTGCAGTGGTTATGGCTGCGATAGTAAAGGTATCGGTGGTAGCGGTGTTCGTTTAACGTTTAACGTTTGTCGAGTGAGAAAAAACCTGTGAGGGGGTTCGTTGTTATCGATTCATTCGTTTGTGATTAATATGGCTGATAGGCTAAGTGTCGTCCTTCCCTGGGCCAGCTTTCAACCTTTAACTTTGCTTCGTTGTTTTTTTTCTTCTTCTTGCTATGTCGTGTCAAACCTCAAGCAAGAAAGCAAGGAAGCAAGGAAGCAAGGAAGCAAGCAAGCAAGCAAAGAAAAGAAAGGAAACGTGGGGAGAGAGCGAAGGGGGAGGAAAAGAAAGAAGCAGAGGGAGAACTCAGAGAGAGAGAGGGGGAGGTTTCGACGTCCAGTTATGTTATATTCGATTCAAGCGGGCCTGCATGCATGTCCTTTTTTTCTCTTCTCTCCCCCTCCCCTGTCTGTACAGCATGTATGTATGTATGTATGTATGTATGTAGGCCGGCCATGCCAGGGTATTGGTTCGAGTAAGGCAAATACTCCACTCTAGTTGGTAGTAGAGTACCGGCGGGATGTACATTACTATGCTCATGTAGGAACCGTTACAGGAAGAGGGCCATATGTGATGGGTGCTCCTCTCTTCTGGAATAGGTACGCAGAAGCGCGGGACCATGTCGGGTGATTTACTGGTCCACTAGAGCGTGTTTGGAGAGGCGCTCTTGGGGCGCTCCCCCAAATGCGAATGGCCAGGACTTCCCGTGAGCGGAAATGCCCGTGAAGGTGGATTGGTGGATTGGTGGATTGGTGGGAGAGGGAGATGGAGCAAAGATCCGAGAACACGCACTGGTACTGCAGCCAGCTGTGGGTCATTGTTCTTCTTCTTCTTCTTCCTCTTCTTCTTCTTCCTTTGAAGAGAAGATGTTTCCAACATGCTATGTATCAGATCAGATCTTTGCCTTGGGAAGCATGTCTACGATGCATGTCTGTGGTGTAGTCTCAAGCTTCTGCTTTGATGTAGAGTAAGTGCATGTCAAAGAGTGCTACCTATTGTACTCTAGAGCATCATACTCTTTCTTCTTCTTTCCCATCTCTTCTCATTCCTATACTACCCGTATCTACACATGCATTCTCACCTCCTCTCGGAAGAGAGAAAACAGATTATGCATAACCCACTCCTCTTCTTTTCTACTATTTGTGGCCATCTGTATGTACGGTATGGCGCAGCGTTCGCTCGTGATGTGCATGCCCCTAGAGATGTAGGCAGTCCAGGGGTCAACTACACCTAACCAAGCAACGAGCACGGACCACTGCCGAAGCACGAGGACGAAACGAAAGAAGCCAAGTTCAAACGGAGCCAAAACACCAGACGCCCAGCCAGTGGTGGGGTAGACTACCGGAATCAACCAGCCATGTGCGATCCAGACTCCCACACACTGTCTACATCTACCTCATATCTCTTGTCGCGACGTGTAGACTCGATGAGAAGGTTGTTGTCAATATAGGAGGTACGTACTGTGCTGTTGTCAAAAGATATTCAACAGCAGATATACAGACACCTAGCTGCCGCAGCTATATCACTTCTCGCCCAAATCTGAATCTAAATTCAAGTTCTCGATTTCCTCCTCCCACCACGGTTACACATCCGTACCACTCGACCCGGAGTGGTATATACACTAATGTAACCTTATCACATGCAATGCGGGGAACGTCACTCTCGTCCAAACTTTTTTTTTCCTCGAACGAAAGAAGATCAGAGAGAGAGGTTATTTTGGGGTGTTTCGTTATCCCCCTTTTTTCTCTTGCGGTGGTTTGGTTTTGACTGCAAGCCACTAGAAAGCCACATGTCTTCCCTCTTGACTGTAGTTCTAAGCCACAGAATGAATGCACTCATTGACAAATATCCCCACCATGACCAGCTCCGCCGCAATCATCACTCATGCTACTCAATTACCGGATCGAACACCGTTCCCGTTTTTCTTCGAAGATCGATCTGCACTTTAACTCGCCTGCTTCATCCTCTGCTGCATGTACTCTGGAAACAAAAACAAGTTTACCTGCCTAGGTCGGCAAGTAAAACATGTGAAGTTCAAGGTCGTTCTAAGCACCACGCAGGGCACTTTTCACGAGGATTGAGGGGGTGACCTGTTTGGCTGAAGCCTAAGAATGATGTGCGGTATGTAGGATATTCCCTGGAATAGAGAAGGATAAATTGCGGTAATGGAACGTGATAACCGAGACGTCAACGCATGTAGGTATTAGGGTATTCTCTACTCCACTCTAGAGCCTTTAGCTGCAGATATGTATGTAGAGCATGCACCAAGGTTTTCGTTCGTGAAGTCAGCCAAGAAGACCCTCTCAAATATATGTATCTTCATCATTTCAACTTCGCTCTCTTCATCACTCACAGTTGTCACTCCTTCAATCTCCCGCTCTCGTTCCAACGGCTCGGCAAACCGGCCCGGGCGGAGAAACTAACTTTAGTTAGCCTCGGGATCGGTTACGGTTTAGTGTGGACAGTGGACACAACTACTCTACTCTACTCTGTAGGGTTGGGGGTGGGAAAAAAAGGGAGAGAGCTCTGACCTCCGAACCCTTCTAGAAGGCCGGGTAAAGGTTTAAGCTCGCTTCTAAGTTTCGATGTTTATGGATGGATTAACGGGGATGGACGGGGATGTGTCCGAATTTGCGTTTTTTTTCTCTTCCAATTTTCGTTTTGCGTGGGTGCTCACTGCTGTCAGTGTGATCGATGCGTGGGGGGCAATGGGTAAATTGAAGATATGTAGTGCTACTCCAGCTCCGCGTTGTTAGTTGACAATTGTAAAGTAAAATGAAGATTGATCTGCAGCTGCCAGAAAACTTCAAGGGTTTGATGTGATCAAATATTAAAAGCCACTTCGAGAACTCTCTTCCACATTTATGATTAACCATACCCATTACGAATACCCCAGATAGTGGCTGGTCCTCGGAACCCTCCTTCCCCTGTCGCCCCAACAATTCTTTAGTTGCTTTTCGCTATTTCGGGTCTTATGGGTAATGGTAATTGCATATATATTTGCTGTTCGGGCTAGACGGGGTTTTCTGGTGTTGGCACTGACAGCAGCAATGTCTTTGGCTAGGAAGCTCGAAGGGCTAGTGCAAAATTGACAGTTGAGGTTTTACTATGTAGACTAGCGAGATTTGGAGGCCGGTTTGAAGGTAGTAATATATCGATATTGTATATCGCATATGCTTTATAATTTATGAGGGCGGCTTAGATATAGATAGGCATTAGAGTAGTTAGTACTCGACTGAGGAACATTAGAGAGATAGTGGCCAGTGGTCCTCAATTGCGCGGTAGGGTACAACGGGGTATTTTCTCGGAGAAATATGGGTAATATGAACTTACTGCAAGGAACGAGCTTCGGCCATATCGTGCACGCACATAACGATCGAGGTGCGACTGCGTGTGACTTGAGCTTGCACACAAGTGAAATTGAGAAATTGTTGGACAGAGGATACCTAGTGTAGCGGCGCACGCGCCAAAGGGTAGGACTGCCGAATTTATACAGCATCCTGTCTTAGAAGTCTGCAGTGCCATTAGTTTTTCCATTCTGGTTGCGTCTTGTAGTCAGTGCAAGTATTTATCGCCACGACGATGAATGGTGGTGCAATAAGGTGTATTAGATCATTATAGCACCCGATCAATTGGTCAAGCGATATGGTTTTCTTCTTTGGCCAACAGAAAATAGAGTAGAATAGTGAAACACACTCTTGTCGACCAACCCTTGAAAGCTTAAGTGCCATTGAGTTTAGCAAAAAGACAAATATAGTCCTTAAGCACACTATGTGTCTGAGGCAAGAGGTAGGCCTATAAATCGGAAACTGGAGACTGCAATGATGAATATAAAAAGCATTCGTTATCTTGAAAGGTACATATAGTGGCTCGGAAGGTAAGTTGTGGTTTAAGAGACAAAGACTATATGCGATGACGTGGTCACCGGGAGTCAGCATCTGCAATCGTGTTTGTCTAGCTATATTTACATACATGTACTTAGTTTTTAATCACATGTACAAACATCGATGTATTTATCTAAGTGACATCTAAATAAGTACAAAATATAGTCACCGGCGTCCCTAGTTCAACCGTCAAAACAAACCATCTTATATATATATTAAGTACAGTACGATCATCTGTCATATTGTATTAATTATATGTACCCATATAATACCTCTCAAATCACTAGGTACAAATCATATTATTGACACAGCAATGAGGACTACGTCATATATCTTCCTAGGCTCCTAAGCCTTGACAGTACAGCGGCATGCAGTGCTTTATTCCGAGTGAGAAATTGTGAAGATCGATAACTTCAGTCGCAATCTTTACCCCGTATGATCTTGGACAGTGAAAGGTGCTCTTGCTATGTACTCAAAACATGTACCAATAGTTTATCTGGAGATGTAGGTTCGGAGTTATGAGGAAGTTAATTAATCAGGGTTAGGTTTCTTCATATATATATATGGTACTTCAGAACTTGCACTGACGTGACGATACATGACGGGTCTTTCATGGTGGTAGAAATTCTTGATTTTTTTATTTATTTTTAAATCTCAAATAAAAGATAACCCCCCCCCCCCCCCCCCCCCCCCAGACCTCTTCGCCGCTTCATGGTCTATCCATATCTTCCTTTTCAGTCCCAAAGTTGGCGCACACTCACTTCAAGAAGCAATATAATATATACAATCACTTCGCAAGAATTTTAGTGTATTTCGATTTACAGCGCATCATGTCTTAGTTTCAGTACGTATAGCTCATTTCATCCCACGTTATCCGAGAAGAGATGAACAACGAAAAGGTCTAGCCTAGTCCACCAGTATAGAATTGTGTACGAGTGATTATCCATGATTGTTGCTAGTTGTGGGAGAGGGTGGGTATATACCTGTGGTCTTTTACCGGTAAGACCCAAATTGGTGAATAGACCGCATTTTCCTTTGAGATTTCAGGTTTGAAGGTCTCCTCTTTGGCGGTGATTAGAGTTTGACTGGTTCTGTCTTTTGAAGATAATATTCAGCTTTGACTTCGGTACACGTTTATGAGGATGCAGCTAGATGTGTACAAATAAGAAACGAATCAGTCGTTAGCAAGTATACTCTAAGCCTACAACCCAGCATAAATATAAATAGAGGAAATGGAAGGAGAACAAGAGGAGGAGGAGAGCTAGGATGTGCTTTAAAACTAATCTACAATCTACGATATGATACTCCTAAAAGAATTATTTACATATTGCGACAAATACCTCTTCTCTAGCTTTGGCCTCTCTTTCTAAAGACCGCAAAGAACCCACCGCCTACCAACCGATCCCCCACAGAGGGTCTACACACTAGGACATCCTCTGTCTCACCTTCAGCAATGGGCGGGATCTCTTTCGGCTGTAATTCTGCTTCCGTGTCTGCATCAACTACAGACTCGCTCTCCGCAGGCACGTCCTCTGCCTCCGCTCCAATCTTGACCTCCTCACCCTCGACATCGACATTTCCACGCTCTCTCGCTCTTACAGTTGTCCACTTCACATTCCATGCCCTCAACCCCGCGCCAATGCCCATACCGTGCGGCGAGAACTCAACCACCACCTCTTTCGATAGCGGGATTCCCGTCTTCTTGATTACCTTCAAGCAATCCGCAATTTGGGTCACACTAGGACAAAACACACCCAGAACACCGTCCGGAAGGAGTCCATCCGACATTGCCTGCAGATATTCATCTGTTCCCGGCAGATCCAGAATGGCATGCGATAAGAACGGCCCCGGTGGCTTCCCCTCCTCGACCCGCTTTGTGAGCTGATTCTTGATCCACTGCGTGGGGTTACCGACATAAAAGTCGACGTTCTTTCTATACAAGCCTCTGCGGAAGCCCGAAACAACCTTCTCAGCGTGCTCGGAGTGACGCGCAGAGATATCGATGGTGTGGATTATGGCACCGCGCGGTCCGCCTGGCGGGTTTGCAGCATGTACGGCACGGCAGAGCTGCAGTGTCAATGAACCATGTCCTGTACCCGCTTCAAAGATCTCAACGGGCGGATTCGGTGCGCTGTCGACGTGAATGTCGAGGAGGTTTACGATTGTTGCGGCGTCGTGGGGGTAGACCTACTTCATGGCTTGCATGTCAGTCAGCGCTTTGCGCAGGGAGTAAAGGAAGGGGTGCGTACGGGAGTGACGAGGCGGCGGACGTTGGTCACATATTCATCAATTGTGGGGAATGTAACGCAGTATCCGGTACCTTTGCTGCTAGAGACAATGTCGCGTGTGTTGGCGCCGATAATGTCGTTGTGCGCGATGCGCCCACTGGGGGTCTCGATTTTCCTGCCGGATCTAAGAGGCTGCGAGAGGATTGTAGAACTAGTCTTACCGGCTATGCGTCGTAAGTGGACGATGTCGCCCTCTAGATCGATGGTCTGTTAGTATGGAATATGTATCGTGGGATATATGTCGGGGGAGGGCTGGTTTGAGATGTGTACCTTCAAAGGTCTGATGGTTAGAAGAAATTAGCCGGCGCAAAGAGGGAATTGCTTGACGAGTCCAAGCCGGGCCGCGTCGGAGAGTGGTAGCGAACATTGTTAGTACCAAATGGTTTGAGTGAATCGCAATTGTTGGAGATTTTGGTGGGGTTTCTCTGATCGTGAGAATTTCTTTCTGGTTGTTGGGCGCTTGGCTGCATGAGGAATATGGTGCAAGAAAAGCTTGTTTTTGAGCCGCCAAAATCCTGTGGAAATAAGAGTTATAGATTATTCATTTGAAGCATTAATCAGTGGAATATTGTATACACATCTAGAGTCTTCTATCCTCGGACTATGTGGAGCTGCCATGCCTTCGACAAATATGAAAACTCCTACTGCAACGGGAATTGTGTTCTAGTATGGCGACTGCTAAAGCCAACCCATTATTCCACCGCGACTCCTAGCTCCTAATGCGAAAGAAGATATGATGGCAGTCATAGCTTGTAGATATTTCTCCTGATAAAATAGATGTGGTTAGGTGTAATATTCCCTATTCGTTGATTTAAGTTTGCGGTATCATTGTCCACACATGCATGCATAGCGCTGGATGTACTCGATTATCTTACCAAGCGCTTATTATAGCTTGCTTTTTCATCATCTATAATATTTACCCTATGGGCACACAATGGTCTAACCCCCTCGGTAGTTCATTTAGTCGAGTGAGCGAATTCAAGGCAGGAATACGGCACAACGGAGACCAAAGAATAAAGAAAAAGTGCGGCGTGGAACAGATACCTGATCAGGGATTCAATACTCAATGGCGGCAAAGATGCTCTAAAATCAACAAAATACAGCCGCCGGGTCATTCTTCCAAGTGTGTGTGTAACTCGAGTTATTTTAGGTTAGGTGGGGTCCAATTTTAAGCACAGATCTGGAGGCACATATATCGTGAATCTTGAGATAAGCGAAATTTAAATGGTCTGGGGGCTTTGTTGTGCCTGTAGAGATAGAGAGATGAGTGGTGAGAAAGTGCAGTGGTCTGGATCAATTGAACACGAGTGCTCGAGTGCTAGTGTGTGCGCATAAGCGGGAGGGAAAGTTTGAAATTTTTGGTTCTGTCAGTAATCCTCATCACTTGTACTACTTTTTCTAGTAACGTCACCAATAAACATACATATAGAGTATATTCGTCTTTAACCCCACCTTTAATCTCCCCCACCTCAAAAGATTTCTACACGAGTACCACATACAGTCTACCGATATAAAGAGGGATACACCTTTGAGATAATCTACCATCCATATAGATCAAATGTCAAGATTCTCTTTCCAAGAACCCTCCCGAAAAATACATACCTCGAGTGTCGGGAATATCGCGGAAGTTATTCGTTTATGATAGGACGGCCTTCAGCGTATCTACCTCACGGATTGCTCCAGTATTCACTATAGAAATGTACATCTATGTGCATACTATACACATAATTCAAATGTTTCTAGGTATAGGTAACCTCCTATTACATATGTCAATATCCATCCAACTAACACTTTTAGCATTCAAGAAATTGAAACACACTCTCAGGCAACCAGGAAATACTGAAAACTGGGTTCGTAGCAATCATGCTGCTAATATGGTACCTGTGGCGTGAGATATAATATTTATCTACTGCCTTTGCCGGAAATATGCTTCCCGATGCCCGGACAGAATGGATATCATTATGCAGATCACGACAAACTACTCCCATGATCTGCGACGGTCCACTGGCACCAAATTTACCAATAACAGGTCAGGACATGGTAGATATTTTCTTCTTGTTTTAGGTTCTCAAGGTACATGTAAGTACGCGGGCTTCGATTGTGCGCAAATCAAGACACACGTGCACGCGCTAGTCCTCGTTGGCAGCTGAAACCTTGTACCCGGCATGTTAGCCAGATTGCTATCAAGATTTCAGGGGGATCCGCAGGAGAGACATCTTCGACTTTCCTCATCTCTCGGGATAGATGGGGGCTTGAGCTGCAAACCTCCCGCTCCCTCACCCCTCTCTTTATGGCACATGCAAATCACTGAAATTTCGAAAACGAACAAGTTTTTTGACTGGCAAAAAAAAAAGGATGCTCTCCAAGGAGCGCCCCCTCCTCTTTGGTATTATTTCAAACTATACAAAAGAAAAAAATATACAAAAAATAATAATCATATTCCACTCCATAACAGGACGAGAAAGGCAAGACCGGAGCCTCTATTACCCAAAAAACCTAGTTAGTAAGTAGTAATATAAAGAGATAGAAAAGGATGAAATTTTCCAGCTAAAATGACCCGCTGTACTCCAGAAAAACAATAGTAAACAGATAGCTCCCGTGCGAGTTTGAGGCCGGACACAAAATTGTCGTTAAATCGATCGACCGAGGTATTTCGATGAAGTTTGGATTGTTCACGTCCCCCTGCCATTCAATAACACGCTTTCCGCCACAGAACCAGACACAAAGCTTCTACACATGGGTTCATTTGAATGGGGCCAAAAGGAAAAGTAAAAGAAAACCATAAGAAGTGCCCATTAAAAAGTTGCTAATATTCGTGCAAATGTAAATTAATAAACAGTAACGCTTTATCTACAGCCAACTATCGAGATAGTAGCAGTCGATAATGCTACTAAATGTTTAAAGACATTTACAAGAGGTAGGCGGCAACACCGATCAAACCGGCAAGAGCACCGGCAGCAACGGTGGCCCTGTTGGCAGATCCCTCGAATACAGGGCTGCTGGGGGTAGCACTGGCAGTGGCGACAGGGACGGGGGTGGTAACGTTGCTGTGGGCAGAGGTGGTAGGCTTGGAGGTGGCCTTAACGGTTCCGTTGGTGTAGACGGGGGCGGAAACGGTTGGGAGAGCGCCGGTACCAGAGGGAGAGCTAATGGTCAAACTGTTAGTTCTAATTCTGAGCCAATGGGAGTAACCAGGAATTGAACTTACCATCCACCGGGGCAGACTGATGAAGTGACGGTGGTGTAGGTCATAGTACGGGTGCAAGGGCAGTTACTGATGGTCAAAGTTGTGGGCTAAATCGAATCTGTCAGTTTCAATGTTCAAAGCTATACCGAAGCTCTGCAAATACCTCAGTGACGGTGTATGTCTTGTTTCCCTCGACAACCTCGGTAGGGAGAGGGCAGTAAGTGGTGTACTGAGTTACAACCTGAGTGACGGTCTGCTCGGCAGTGGTAGTACCGTTGGTGACATTTGCAGAAACGGCAACTGCGGAGAGGGCAATAGCGAAGGCGGTTGAGAAACGCATTTTGGCTGGTGCGGTTTTATGGGTGAGGATATTATTGGTTAATGGTTTCGGGTATTAAAACGAATGAATATGCTGAAAGCGAAGATTATATCGTGTGCAAAAAGCGAGAGTATAGAAGCGACTGTGGGTGGGGAAGGAAGGGAAAGAAGATTCTTGATAGAGGGAAGGTTATTGGGGCTTTATACAAACGTAAAGGGGCGGGCAATTATCCTGCGAGCAACCGGGGGCATGGTATGGGCATGGGCGCTGCGTTGACAGGGGGACTGCTTCTCTAGAGTACAATAACAAGGATTACAGATTCCGAAAAAGGGAGGCAAATGGAAATCGACTTTCTATGAAGGACTTTGACGGCTTCCTTCTTGGTGCTCTGAAGGTTACTACTTTTGGGGGCCTCGAAGTGAGATTACGGCAAAGGACAAAGATTGAGAGTTCTGGGCAAGGGTAGTAATTGATAAGTGTGCATCACCACACTACAAAGCGGGTTGGTTTGGTTCTATGTGCGTTGGTTGGATGAACAGGCACAGATGCTCATCCTGCAAGGAGAGAGATATCATCATCTCTCGCCTGGCGCAGGTACAAAAAGAAATATTGCAAGGAAAAACCCCAGGATGGACCAATGATTGGCACACGCCACTAAGCTAGGATTCCGACAAGGAACTTATCTGCACATCTATGTAGAACACAGCTGCACAAGAGACATCACCATCCAAACAATTAAATCCTAAAACGGTGATACTGATCTCGGCTGTTAACGAGCTCCAATGGATAAGTAATGATATCCAGATAAAAGCGGGCGTCGGGCTGACAGTTCAGCCTACACAGAAGTAAAACGCCTCAAAACATGGCAGCTACCAGTATATACCTTAGCTGGGCCGGCTGGTCCCCCGCAAAGTTATTCGAGCCGCAGAGCACGACAAATTCCGCTTTCCCCGGAACCAACACAGTATGATCTGCGCTGTTATCAACCCCTTGCAGAAACCGGATATGCAGGCTTTTGTGTTACTGTAAATGTTTCCTTCAAGATTCCTTTGAGCTAGCGCGCCTGCTACGTGCTGAGTGGAATTAGGATTTCAGTCGTTTTTCTAGTTTTTTGCATTCTCTTCCTGCCTAGGAAGCTTCGGCCACGGGAGCTTCAGCCTTATTTTCTTACTCAACGCGGTCGCCCTAGATCCCCGTGAGACATGCATTTTACGCCCAAGCGAAAGAAGATCCCCGTTTGCCTACACAAAGTTTTTCCGGATCCTCGTTTCGTACCTGCCTTAAGACTCCATGGTTTAAAGTAAGGTCATCTGAATTTCGTGCCCTGTTTTGTGCTCACTCATACGGATCTCACCCACCATGGTATCGGTTGGAGTCGCCATCTAGATCATGATCAAGCTCGGGAAATTATAGGGAAGAATTGCCCAAGCAGAAAGCAAATAGCCGAAATTGCGTTCAGATTTTTCCCTGGGGCACATAGCGTCTTTCGCGAGTGAAGGGTCCTTCTGATTAACACTTACAGGCTACAAGGAAGGTAAAGTACCTGATTCTTTTTTTGGGACTAATTGATACGTTGATTGTTTATCTACACCCCCCGGACCCTAGGAAACGCCGCCGGCTGCGGGTACGTATCGCTTTGAGTCAGGGCAAACCCCGGGGGAATCGCCCCAGAACTGTCTCCGTAGTGCTGGAACCATTAGTAGTAGTCTAATGAGTGATTACGGGTGTTACATGTCTTTACTGCTCATGGCCAAGTACATTGTATACTCTGCTTACCCCAACAGATACCCTTAATTTAGAAGCCTAGCTTACTCGAGAGTACCTCATGCTTATGGATTTATTATAACACCCGAAAAAAACAATCTCAGTAGGTTCATCATTCATGTGAGTATGTGGAGATCAGCTTCATACTTTTAGCTTCCTAAAGCAATTTCTATTGACGCCCGCCATGCTTACGGATCCTGCATAACCGTCATATTTACGACGTCGAGTGATCTCGAGTGCATTTATTTATCGGGCCTCAAACCGACATCCCCGCCTGTTTGGCGAGAGAGAGAGAGAGGGGGCGCTTACACGGAGAAATCAAATCGACCAACCACATTTGAATCAAATTCTACTCTAGAATTTCCTATTTATACAATTCTATGATTTTCTCTCTGCATTCTAATAAAGGTCCTACTCATATGTGGCCTGTCATGTCATACGGCACATCAAACCTTAACAAAATGTCTTGTGATTGATTCTTCCAAGTACATCAATTTGGACAACGTTTCAAATAGGCTATTGTTGCATCGATGGCATTGATTGATCCGAAGAGATGAATCCCTTTGTACCTCCTTCCTTGCGTGGAGAATTCTTGAGATGGGTAAAAAGTAAAAAAAAAAAATACTTCGCATTCTCTGGTGGAAGATATGTATTCCGAGTCATACGCTCAGGTTATGGCACAGATGATAGTAGTTACAGGATATCCAACCCACCTGCTCGTATTCTATCTATATCAATGTGGTTTGCGGTAGGGAAAGAGAGAAGGTAAGTGATCGCTTTTCGATTTCTAACCTTGACAAGGAGCGAATATTCAATGGTTCGAGATCATTCTCAGCGAATTGATGAATAGCTGTCGATGGATTATACCGAATTCCCGATGCTGATGGGGAGATAGAGCAGATAATATAACGGCTATGAAATTGAAATCTCTAGCCTAGGTCTCTCGTTAAGTTAGGAATCTCATCATTTGTTTGGAAAGGCTAGAGTCGAATCTAGGAATTCTATTGGTGTACATCGAGGGTTGATCTATGGCTTCACTGAGACACAGGCAGCCTCACCGGCCCCGGCCCGGCAGTTCGAGGAGGAGGAGCTGCGATAAGCGTGTATGTGGGGGATGTTGGTTGACGAGCTAGAAGGTACCAAGCCAGACACTACTTCGAACACAACAACTCACTCGTGATATAGCTCGAATTCGAGTAATTTTTGTCAAAAACAAGGAGAATTTTCTATGCCCCATCGGAATTAGGGATATCCGGGCTATACGAGAACTCCAGAACCCTCGACATATGAAATAAACTGATATCTTTAAATTGTTCTTCGTTCGCCATGCGCCTAAATAAGCCTACATATATATAATTTCCGTTGCAAGCCTCGTAAAACAATATCTGGCAAGACCTCGTGATGAAAGATAATAATAAAAAAAGCCAGAATAGAATAGCGACGTGGGAAATACTCGGTAGGCAAAATCGTCCATGTATTTTTCTCTTATCTTTTCGTCTCCTCTCTACTCAGCCAGTTTTGAACACCGCAAAAAGCATAGCAGGCCTCTACTCGCTCCTGTGGATCCAAGAGGTCCCAGAATCGAGTTTTTTGAATCTTAAGTTTGTCCCAGTCTTTCCCTTCCTTTGTTTGGAAAAACTCGTGTTTGAAATCCGGCATCCTTCCTGTCTCAAGGTATCTCAGATAGGGCTGCGAGACAGAGACGTGAGAGATTGAGACGTGATGGTGGAGAGAAGTCATAATGAATATCTATTGACAAGGGGTGGCATGTTAGACACATCGAGCACATGAAAACGGGGAATGACATTAAAGCATACATCATCTCGATATTTTTCTTCTTTGCCTATGGCTCTGTATCGAACTTTCTTTTCTGTCTTGCCTTCTTTACCCGGACGAGGTCCCTTCCTTCTGTCTTGGGCTATGCTGAGTGTAGCAGCAACTTCTCGGGCAATTCCTATAACATCATCTGCCAACATAGTGTCATCTTCATCGTCATCATCATCATCCTTATCCTTATCCTTTTCGTCATCAATGTCCATTTTATCAACTCCTAGCTGCCCGGCTTCAAGAATATCTATTCTTCGAGAAACAGTAGCAGTCGTCTTCATCTTCTTTCTCGCTGCCTCATAAGCTGCAGATCGAAATCTTGTCTCATGACGAACCTGCATTCCCATTACAGGCCCTTCAACAAGCCCGGCACGAGCTTCAGCGGGAAGTTTAGGGGTAAGGTAGATGTAATTCGTTAAATGCACCAAGAACTTGGATTTTTGGAGGCAAACTATCGGAGGGGCTCTCGGAGCACTTTTTATGAGCGGGCTGCATTAGCAGAGCCCTTTTTCTTTTTTTCTTTTTTTTCGAAAGTGGGAACTGGGGTTAATACTAAACCCGCACTCCATATCCCCAACATATGGGCTCAATGAAATTCTTCACCAGCTCTTCTCTGAACTTCTCTGGCATTGAAAACTTCTCTGGTTTCTTCTTCTTGCCATCTTTTTTGTCCTCTTCGTTAACACTTCCATCAGATTCTGCTGATTCTTCGCTGGCTCTCCCCTTTTTCTCTACACCACCTTCGACATCTTCTTCTGCTTTCCGTTTCCCACTCCCTTGCTCGGACCTTTCTTCGCTATCGCTTTGACTCGAAGCAACATCAGACGAAACAGGTGCCGTTGGATAGTACGGCCTTAGTAATTCCATTGCTTGAAAGAATCGATACATGTGCCCCAATCTAATCGTCTTATTCTTCCTTGACAAAACATCAAAAGCATCATTGTTGGCTATCAGGAGCTCTTTCTTTCTCTCTGAAAACGTTTTATCGTCTTCTGCTGGAAACCAATCACCTTCGGGCAACATCTTCTCGACGGGGAAATCATACTCGACTGAAACACCGAGTGCGTCGAGGTGGCTGGTTGTAACGTCGGTGGCTTTCTTTATCTTTTGGATATACGAATAAAAAGATTTATATTCGGCCGGTGGAGTGAATGATGTTACAGACGCATCAGGTGTTGAGGTGTAACGTGGGAAGACTTTAGGACCTTGGAAAGGCGCTGGAGGCTTGATGGTAGTGGACTGAGGTTGAGTAACAATGGACGCCCAGTTGGTAAACATCTTGTTGAAACAATTGGGCCTGTATGTTGAAGGACAATGACTGAATATGTCTCTCTGTCTACAATGAAGCGGAAGTGAGGGGAGGAATGCTAGAGCTCAAGGCTTAGAGGGAGAATAACTGCGGAGATTGTGGCCACGTTATGGTGCAGAAGCACGAAAGTGGATACGACCGAGGCTAGTAGCTGCTCGTTGATCTTTCTGTCTCTTGGTTCGCGCCGCAATGCAGGAATCATGCATTCAGAAGGAAAGGGCTTCCTGGATATTGGCGCGATATTACTTCGATCGCCGGCCTAAACGACCCCGATATTGTTACTCTACGCAAAGTGCAAATACTCTCACCTAATAGTACCGCGCAATGGCCTATATCGCGAGATCGTATCTTAATCTACAGTCGATGGCAATGAAATGAGGGCGATGGTACATGCAAAAGTTGATGGAGCGTTGAGCTCTACCCGTTCTCGCATCATTGGTGGGGGGACAGCAGGCCACAATGCGTGGGTGGAGTGTGCGTCGAATCAGACGTGGTTCAGCTCGGTTAGTAAGCGTTACAAGCGCGATGTGTGGCTCGTGCATGGCGCCCGCCGCCGCACGCGACCCCCCGTCGGATGATGCCGAAGCCGAGGGAACAACCCACCCAGAGTATCTAGCGCGATATGTAACCCGATTAAAGATTACAGCGGGGACCCGCTATACCGAACCTGCAGAATCCGCAAAAATCAGTTCGGTATAGCAGATCATACAGTACAGCAGAATTAATTCGAAGGCTCATAATAGGGTTAGGTTTTGTTCCACGAGTGAGGGTACAAGTAAGGGTACATGACAAGTTTCCCTCAATATGAAGCGGTCATGATGAACTACGCACTTCAACTACCCTGGAAAATATTGAAAGTATTTGTGAGTAGAAAAGTGAATTTTGATACCATGATGGGTCGAGGGGGGGGTGTATCTCCAAATAATCTATCCCTAATAGTACTAGTGTGTCACCAGTAAATTCACAAGTTCGTTACTGCAGAATTATTTTGTATGGGGATAGAGGGGGGAGGATACAGGGGGTTCAGGTTCCAAAAATTCGATCCGGAGTGAAATTCGGTATATCAGCATGATTTTCACGAATTTTGCTGGGGAAAAAAAAATCGTGTCCGAGATCCTTCGGTATATCAAATATTCGGTTTACTGGAGTTCGCTATAGCGGGTCCCCGCTGTACATACTATCACGGTAGTTCCTATTCGATTGAAAGCCACAAATTGCTTATTGACATCACTTGGTTCTTTCGGTTGGGTGCGGGGAGAGTGAATTTTGGAATAATGTGAATTTGTGAGATTGCTTCAAATACCTCTTTAGCACGAAGTCTCCAATGCCATGAATCCGAAATGTCTGATGACACATAAAATCACAAACCGATGTCAACTCAGAAATCTATGGAGTTGACAGAGCGCACGCTTTTCGAACCATGAAGAAGAAGGCGGGTCGGGGATCCGGAAATCAGCAAAAGAACAATACTACATGTATATACATACCTTCCGAGCCAACCAAGGCCGAAGCACCTGCTAGGATAGCTTGCCTTAAGTATGTCGACCGATGAGGGAACGTAAATAAAGAATCACAACATTTCTCATTCTAGAGGATTTACCATTGGAATATGTTCTGGCAGGTATGCTAGGTTCCTCTTATCAAGTGGTAGCGGTCCAGTGTGTTTGTCTTCCAGATGCTGATTCGAAATTTTGAAGAAGATAACGCACTTCGGGGACCACTGGCGAAAATTCACCACGCCGTTGTGAATTAGGAATTGCGTGCTTGATTCCAAGTCTTCTGACGATATATCCATCTCATTTTACAGCTTTTACTAGTTGTAGCGGTACCCCGGATGTCGGAGATATCAGGCGACAAAAAACAACAGCAGGCAAAAAATAAAACTACATAAATTCCGTTTCGCCAACCAGCAAAATCGTGGAGCGAGTACTGGGACCTGCTTCAACTTCTTTTTTGCCTAAACCTTCCTACTCTAGGAGCTTTCACATATTCTATCCAAGGGTCGTGAAAGTGGCAATACAATGGATACCCTAGAGTACTCTAGATACTCTGCAGGGCATTGGGCTTTTTCAAAACCCCACGCATTTAGAGATGCCATTAATGGATATACGGAGAATTGCGATTAGGGTTCGAACCATCCGGGTTTAATGAGCATTCTTAGTGGTACTCGAGTTTTGAATATGCCCAACAAATAGCTGTTGTCACCTATCAAGATCGAACGACGTCGTCTTCGAATCACAGTTGATCACTCGATTCTGGATATTATCAGCACTTCTAGCTTAAGCTTCATTGACCTAACCGCTAGATGGGCCCGACAGGGTTGCACATGTGTACCTTACAGAACTAATTCGGGGTTGAGATCATCGCAAGGAAAGGGAGTGCTAGTTTTCATACGTTGTAAACACTATCACATTCCCCACGTCACACGCTGTATGTACACCACCGACGTGGTCGTGCTCTCCAAAGGCCTCTTTGGTTTTCTTTTCGTTTGGTCTACTGAACATGATTCGTCCCGAATATAATTTCTATCAGGCGACGAAGTAATAATTATTTCCCCATAAAATACGAATTGGGTTAACAGCCTCTTCTACGTGGGCCACCCCACCCACCCATCGGTTAAGTTTTCAGTCCTGGTCGTGTCGCAGCAGAACACGTCTGCCCTTGGTATCGGAACCAATACGCCCTGGAGCACTATTAAGTCGGCTATGGGATTATCGTGATTGTTCTAATTGGCAAGAATTGTTCCACGGGCTCAGTCTATCGGTGTAAAAAAGCACGCTGCTCTGTGCTTTGGCGGTAGGCTGCAAAAACACTGCTGTCAGCTAATACGAGACACGGAATTACTAGTGCGAAAATCGCGCTGAGCCAGTGATCATTGGGTTTTGGCGATTACCTATGAGCTGAATGAACCTCCAAAAACAGGAAGAAAATCGGCCGGGGGTGTGCCATTGCTCAAGAATATAGACTGGCAGCCTCCCACAGAAAATCGATACACAATCATCACTCTCTATCAGTTGGCCGTTTCCTCGACCTCCAAAAAGCCAATCTTTAGTACGTCTTTATTTCTTTCAAGAATCGCAGGTCGATTTTATTTCTTCTCTGTCACAAAAATATCAAACACTTAACATTTCCCCTACTTATACTTATATACGGTTGGTTACCTTCTCCTCTTTCTTACAAAATCAGTTTCATATCACGCTTCCCCTGCCTAAAAAACGTGATTTCTGGGCAAATTTGTAACGTTTGCAGCCACCTAGTCCATATTACCATCATGTCTCGTGAAACTCAGCAATTCCACCGCAAACTCATTGCCAAAGACCATACACTTCCATGCGTCCGCTACCGGTCCATGAACCAGATTCTTCCCAACCTCTTTCTCGGCGAGTAAGTATCTCTCTCTCGAAAAAAAAAAGAAAGAAAGATATGTTCAGATAGTTCAAAACTAACTCCACATCTAGTTGCAAGGCCATCCTCGACCCCGTGTCCATCGTGAATAACAATGTCAGCCACGTGCTATCCCTAAGGCTCACACCTACACACATCCGCTCGTTGGTGGGTGTAACTCATTGCCAGATCTATATCGATGACTCCGAAGATCAATGGCTACTTGATGGCCTGAACGCCGCGATGGAGTTCCTTGAAGATGCGATGGATATGGGCGGAACCGTTTTAGTACACTGCCAGGAGGGGAGAAGCAGAAGTGCTTCTGTCGTTATAGCTTTTGGTTAGTTGTCCTAGACGAGAAAATAGAGATAAGGGAGGCAAATGCTAATGAAGAGTCTATAACTACAGTGATGAAGCATTTTCAGGTATCATATGAAGAGGCATGGTCATACGTTCGGAAACAGCGACCGGTTGCGAGCCCAAACCCAGGGTTTGTGGAACAGCTAAAAATCTGGGAATACCGAGGCTACTGGTAGTCTTGCACAACAAATTCTAGATTCTAGGGATATATATAAAGGGTTTGAGTGAATTGATGAGGAGCCTTTTACCGGTAAAAGCCTTCTCTGACCTGCTGGCAGAAAGTTATTATTATTTCCGCACACTCATTTGTATCATATTTTCTTTTGTGGAAGAGTTACTTGGTCCGTTCGATGGAAAAGCTGGCGTTATGGAGGATTCCTTATGTATTAGTATTATTTGTCTCATTAGCTGATACGAAAATACAAAATATTGTTACCATTTAAAATCCTCGATAGTCTTCTAATTACTCGTATATGTAAGTGTCGCTAGTACAGTAATGAATTATCAATCAATTAATTAAGTGTTGCCAGTGATGTAATCATTAGTGCGACTCGAGTGACTCCTTGTGACGGATAGCCAAGCTCTCCGAGCTGATACCTCGCAGGGATGGCAGTACAGTCTAATAATGCGGGAGGGGCACATGTTTATCTTTGTTTATTTTGGATAGAGTTTACACGAGCCCATTTGACTCGGTTGTGAACGATTTACGTGTGACAATCCGTGAATATAATCTACGTAGAGGAGTAACAAAAAGAACGTGTAATCATTGATTCTATCACCGGTAGGTGAGAAATGAGAGGGTATGCAGCAAAACATCAAAGCTCAAAACAAAAACAAAAAAAATCCCAGGACACCATCGCAAAATGAATACTGAATGGAGAAAAGCAGAAAGGAGAGGTGGGGGGCATATAGATATCAAAAAAGCTGATAAAAACATAAAATTAGGAATATCTAAGAAAAAGATTCGTTATCCCGTAAAATATAAATCCTCTATGCTCCTATACTCATAACTTCATCTAAACCATTAGATACATCGTACAGATGAGTGATGGCCCAATATATAACCCTGAAAACAGCCGTCTGATGTTAGCACCAGTTTCGCTTTTACTGTGTTGAGCATTGAGATAAGGGCAACTAACCAATCCAGAATAATGTGTTCCCCAGTGTTTTTCTATCTCGCATGAGTTTAGTGTGCGCAAAAGCGCTCAATGGTATCTGTAACATGCTGCTGAACCTGTGCACGAAAACCATCATCAGATATTGTTAGGGAGGAAAAAGTCGAAGGGATAATGCAGAGAAACTTACATCAAATAACCTCTAACTTTCTTAAAAACTGCCCACATAACCAACTCGTGGAAGATAGCGGAAATGAGAAAGGTGATCAAAGCCGCGACTTTCTTCGAGACATGGAGTGATGATATACTTGTATGGTAGACATGGCGGCGGAGAAAGTTGTGGACAGGTTTGTTCCAGTCTCGAGCAAACTTGAGCGAAATATCTGTTAGAGATGATACGCAGGGGCAGTAAGAATGGAACTTACCACGTCCCAGCCAGTGCTGTTCCACCAGTCACCATAGAAACCGCGATCAGAAAATAAGGTGAGCTCGCCCAAAATATTCAGAATCAACTCCCAGATTAAGTACCATGTCATCTGAATCATCCGTCAGTATTTGGATTTTGATAAGTGGTAAGATTTTACGTACCAGATACTCCACAAGAAACGGAAAGAGTAGATCGGCAAACATCCACGGTATTTCTTTCAGTCTTTCCTCGATCGGCCAAGAACTCATGGCGTTGGCTTTCATGACCACAGGCCACATGTAGTGTTGAGAAACCAAAATCATGATGCCCAGAACGCCAAATATAGCGAAAACTTTCTCGGCGACGTAATGCCAATTTATTGAGTCTTGTCGGGGGTATTCAAGTTCATATACAACACTGTAATTGATTAGGCATAGTCATTGAGTTATAAATCTGAAGTTACTGAGGAGAGCTTACGTGGGAAAATGGAGATACTCTAAGTAGTTCCACCATGTGAGATTGTTTGGGTACTGTACTGGTTTTCCTCCGCTGACTCTAGAGGTTAATTCCACATCACAGCCTTCGATTTCGCCAGCCAGCGTTTTTTCAAAATCTTCAAGTTGTTCAGAGTCCATTTCTTCGGTTTCAGCATTCAGTACTTGGTTGATGCCGTTGTAACTAACATTACCAAGACCGACACCGGAGTCAGTCGAGGTTCCAGATTCGGATCGATGATGGTGTCTTTGTGCAGGATTTTTATCAAGCACAGAAGAATGCAAACAGTGAAGTTCCTGTAATTTCCCTCGTAGTAGGTTGCGACGATTGAAGACCCCGGATAGATGCCCGTTGTAAAAGGCATATGAGTGCTGCTTCATCAGCATAACATGGGCATGCAAAACGATATATACCTGGTATGAATATTAGCGGGGATGAATGCTGAAATGAATTTTATTACAAACCGTTTGAATCCACGACCATTCCTTATAGAGGGTGTATTGGATAATCGCCCACATAAAGAAACCTTGCCATAATATCTGCAATATCCAACCAGCCCTATCCCATTTTATATATCCTTTGTTGATTGCTTTCTGCAACGGTACACACCACAGGCTAGTTCCGTAAAATGCAATAGCATCTGTCAAAAGACAATCGATTAACTTATTCGGCATAAACATTATCGATAAAATGTCGATTCCAAATATCCTCCCCTCGTTCCGATAAGAGGTTGCAGCATCCTTCACCATCAACATACCAATACTCATCCTGAATAAAGTTAGCATGAAACTACTATGCAGGTCTCTTACAGGGTTAGGGTATTCTGTACCAGAATAGGATGTAGAAGCCGTGAAAGGGAGATCCCGAAGCCTCAGGGTTTTGGCGGTCGAATGTGGTAAATCGTTTTGTGAAGACTAGCTATTTGTTCGGTTAGTACTGATGCGTCCATTAAGCCCGTAACAACCATAGAATTAAAGTAGTGTAACCATACATCTGTGAATTTTGCCCTTCTCTTTTTCCCATCTGCGCCTGCAGCAGAGCGAGATTGGGATAGCAGCTTTCGCAAATCATCATCCATCCTGAGCAAGTAGCTTCCCCTCCCTCCATTTTTCACTTTTTCTAAGTGGACTGGAATCGAGGCTCTTCTATGCTCATCATGGCCTTTGCCATTAACTCTTGAGGTCTCAACACCGAGCTTTGCGTTCTCTAAGATTTGGCTGTTACTGAACGGTTTTGTTGACCTTGTCTCGGGAGTGTGTTCATGACGGCTGTGGTGATCGCTAATGCTGGATGTCAAATTACCAAGAAGCCCAGCTTCGGATTCGCTAGAGTTTGTAGCAAGTGAATCGATAGAGGATGAGGACGACATTCTCCCATCCTCACGCAATCTTTGCGTGTGTGTATGGGCCATGACTGTTGTGATATGTTATAATATTATTCTTTTTGTTGAGGTGGCTTCTCCAACTGGTTTCGCCAACAGACTGTGGACCTGAAGAGGACACCGACGCAGGGTCTCTTAAGTACTATTTCTTGTATCGTTATGGTCCACTCAGACCTGTATTTCGGCGAGACTGCTAGCATGCTGCCTGACATGATATCTTAGACAAGGATAATCGGCTTATTTGAGCGGGGAAAGGCCTTGTGATTGGAAATAGTGGGGGGAGATTGAAAATTCGAGTGAAAATGAGTAATTTCTATGCATAGATGAGGCATTCTTTGACTTCACGGAAACGGATTCTCGGGCCTCCGAAGTGTCTTCCGGAGTATTTCATGCATGAGAGCTTCGGTTTTTACCAGCGGTAGACGGGGGCCATCGTGTAAGTGATAACTGTTATTGCGTAAGCCAAGCATTGAGGCTCTGAACAATTATTAAGCAAGTCTGGTTTGTCACCTCGTCTGTTTCTAGAACCAAAAAAGAGAGATCGAGAGGTTTAAACTACTTATCGTTAAAATTATGTCTATCACGGCGCCATCATGGCCTAAGAACTAGCGACACTATAGGATTCCCGGGAACAGGCGAGGGGATATCAAGAAGCTAAGTATTAAGCTAGCGGAGTTTACGGAGAATCGCGAAGATTCCGTTCGTTCCGTGGAGGCATAAATACTGTGAAACTTGAAGCTGCCTGTGATATTCGTCAGCTTTGATTATCATCTTTCCTTCACAGCGCACCAAACACCAAAAACTGAAGAAATGGCTTCCAACCGCCCAGGAGAATGTTGTATTCGAGGAGTTGTTCATGAAGGGGCACCTGCTGGAGGCCAGTACTCAGGAATGATAAAGTTACGATAAAAATTACTAACAGCGTGGATAGAGGAGAAGGAATTCGCTGGAGGTTGGTGCTAAAAAGACTAATTCATATTGACTGAAAGTAACAGAGACAATAGTGAATACCTATTTTGCCTATCCCGAATCAAAGAATACCGATAAAGCAATACTCTTGCTCACTGATGTGATGGGAATCTACATCAACCCTCAACTGTAAACTTCTCCCGATCCCTCAAACCGCTCAAACTTTGTTATGCCTTCGAATAGCTCAATTTATGATGCGGTGTCAAAATAGCATTGCCGATCAGTTCGCCGCCAATGGATACCTAGTTGTGATGCCTGACATCTTGGATAACGACCCAATTCCTCTCCCGGAGAACCGCCCTGAAGGATTTAGTTTGCAAGCATGGTTGGAAAAGCCAAGTCATCAGCCCGAGTTTGTACAGCCAATCGTTGATAAAGTGCTTGCAGAGATGAAGAAGCAGTTCAGTATGTGTCAGAGTGACAAAGAAGTTGGAATTTCTACTAATATGGGGGATGATATACAGATCCTAAGAAGATCGGAGCCGTTGGATACTGCTTTGGCGCTAAATACGTCACCAGATTATTGGATGGCCGCATCGATGCTGGTACTATCATCCGTGCCCATAAAACCAGTCAATTGAAACTAATGTTAACTTTAAAAATAGGATACAACGCGCACCCATCATTCGTAACAATTGAAGAAGTTGCCGCTATCAAGAAGCCTCTCTCAATTGCCGCAGCTCGTACGGCCCCTGCTCTTTCAGTGCGAAATACTGTACTAACAGTCAAACCCGAAACATAGAAACCGATAGCATCTTCACCACAGAGCTACGCCATCAATCAGAGGCAAAGTTGATCGAGATAGGTGCAACTTTCCAGATCAACTTGTATGGTGGCGTTGAGCACGGATTTGCCGCGAGGGGTGATATGAAGAACCCTATCCACAAATTCGCAAAGGAACAAGCATTTATGCAGGCCGTTGCTTGGTTCAATGAGTATTTAAACTGAGAATATATTAGCGAGGGAGGAGCTCTGTACTACTCCATCTAGCTCTAGCTTTAATGATAGACCAGAAAGGCAATAAAGCTAACAAGTAACCAGTGGCCCGGGCATCTGGGAAAGTGTCGCCCGAGATAGGGATTCCGTAAACGTTTCTCTTTCCTGTTGGCGCTGTATCTGTGATATAATTTAAGCCTTTGAGTATCGTGATCGCAGTGTCGGGGTTTGCTTAGTGGAGAAAATGGAAGGTTTGTAGTAATGCGTCTACCCACTAGTAGTCCGCTTGCGACCTCCAAATCTCAACCGACCAAGGCAAGAGCGCTTCGCCATCACGTTTACCGTCTTCATTTCATTCTCCCTTTGAAAGTTTTACGTTGCTACGCAAATCTGCGATCTATCAGATTTGAACAGCCCCCACTGTGTAGTACTACAGCCTTAGGAAATGTATGGGTTAGGGTTCGTTAGTAAATACCAACAACCTCAATCGCAATCTCAATCTCGATCACAAACCTCTTGGGATTTAGAATTCGCATGTTTTGGTGTGTTTTTCAACTTTTACGGCAACCCGTGCATAACAAATCAGCTTTGCCACACCCATCCTACCGATTCTATATTTGGCAAGAGTGGCCGAAACGGCGAGGCTCATGCGGCACACCGACGACAACGACCTGTCCTTCGAGTGATCTTGACTTCGAGTGGTCTTAAAAGCCTGTGAATCTTCAAAATCCAGACAGCAAAAATTCATCAAGAAAGCATGCTGAAACATTGTTGTAGATGTGTACATGGGCGAAAATACATCTTCGTTGTCATGATATCGGTGTACCGGTATTCTCCCCACATATTTCACGATATCCGGGGAATCTCCCATATATGGGCTAATTATGTAACTTCTCATAACTATCATATAAGCTATTAACTCACACGTAATGAAGAATGGGGGACTGGAGTACGATATAGATCCGCCCATCATGTCGCTCGGTGCACGTTATTCACGACATGCTCTACCGGGGTTACAAACATTCGTCGTCCTTACCGGAAATGGGCCTGGGGAAAGGTGCCAAACTACTTGAAGGCCTTAAGGGAACATACATTGGCAAAAAACCATACGACCCCAAGATGCAGAACTGCGTCTTGAGAGAAAACACGCAGAAAAGAAACAACTGGATTTGTTTTTCCCCTAGCTTTCGCTCGGGCTCGTGGAGCCTCGCATATATAACTGTGCCTTTGAAGATCTCTACCCACGCAAGGTAAGTAAATTGAATTAAACCTGAGGTGGAAATGTATGATTACTATTTACTAAAGGTTTTTTCTTAAGCCATAAGGATAGCTTCTTGGATCCGACCATATGGCCAGTCACAACTCATACCCAAACTTTACAGACCTGAGCCTGAAAGATGAACGCCTATCCTCAACCATCTCACGAGTCCCCAGCTACCACACGGACGACTTCTGGCCCACGCAAAAGAAAAAGCCGCGAGTTCACCTACGGCCCCGTACCCTCCCTAAGCGCGATGCCAGCATACGTAGGAAAAAGGCGGGGTGGATGTTCTTCCCTACATTCCTCCTATCGGCCGCACTTCCTATTGCTTGGCTTGTGCTATGGTTCACCACAACCGACGACGAGAAGACCTGCCGCCTCGATGAAAACAGCGCCCCGATATTCGGCATCAATTACTCGATCGGCGTATTATCTTTCACGGCGGCAAAGTGGGTGGATGTTGCTTTCGACGTTGTTGTAGGCCATGGCGGACAGGCGCTGCTGTGTTGGGTATCATACAGAGCGATACTGGATACGCTGTCGCAAATGATGGAGTCGGATGAGGTGTCCTATGAGCTTTTTATCACGCTCACAATGAACGGAAGCACTTTTCTTACGCTGCTGGCTATATTGAAGCGTATAGCGACTAGATGGGAGCACCGTGGGAGAATGACATTGATTTTCCTGGTGACGGCATATGTGCTGATATTCCCTACTTTGATGGCTGCAATGACAGGCTATAGCACCCGCGCTGAAGGCTGGTTCATCCTCAACGACGGGAACCTCGTTACCCACGATACATTTCTGTACGAGATGCGGGACGCACAAATCATTCTCGACGGCTCCCGCATCGGAATGGAAGATAAGGCAACCTTCTCCCTCGAGAAATGGGCCGAAATCTCCGGTGCAAACCATACAGAATGTAGGCATCCTCTACATTTCTTCCCCTCTCTCTATGTGCTCCCAGCTGACAATCCACCCAACAGATGAAGGAATCGGCCACGAATACCGCATCGGTGATGTCGTCTACCGTGTCGGTTTCGAGCCCCTTCATACGCAATTCGGCTACCAATTCCGCGGTGAGGCCTACGACATGGCCTTCACCAGCAACCCGAACCGGCACCGGTGCATCGCCACCGAAAAGTACCAGTACGGTGTCTCCACGGTGATATTCCGGGGCACCATCGTGCTTCAGATGCTGTGGACCTACACCATCTATGCTCTGTGGGTACACGCAAATCGGAAAGGCCAGCTGTGTAGCGCGGGCAGGAAGTTGGGGCCTTTTAGGGCGGTGGCGGATCTAGCTGGGGCGATGAAGGTGGACTTGGGTGAGAACGCGAGCGCGTATCCAGACAAGGTGCTGGAGAAGGAGTGTTCGCGGTCGAAACCGGGACTTAGATATTATATAGATCCTCATGGAGACGGAACGTGGCATGTGGGGTTGTCGTCAGGCAGGCCAAAGGACGAGGTTCTGGTCCTGGACGATGATGCGCGGTTATACAGATAGCCAGGGAACGAACCTTTTCTTTTTTCTTCTCCTTTCTGATTGCTTTAAAAGGGGCGTATATACATGTAATGGGGTAGGTGTTTATCTTTTTGGTTTTTTTAGTGGAGTTGCATGGGATGGGAGTTTGGTGTGTTTAGATCGATGGTGCGGTGGTTTATATACGCACATGGCAGGCGATTATGACTTCAAAAGAATTTAACACCCCCCTAACGGGTCTGCAAAGACGTAGTACTTTTCAAGACTCTGCATGTGAAGGAATGAAAGTGAAGAACATCATAAAAACCGTTAAACAGCATCAACAAGTGTAGTGGAGTTAGTTGTGTTGGAAGGTCATAATATATCACTCGCCAATCCTTGGCATTCGCTTTTCTTTAATGTGTAGAGTCCGACAACACCATGCGACAGTCAACCCCCTCCCATCAACCTTCCTATCCTCGATCAACACTCGACGCACCAAATCATCTTGACCGCCATCATAAGGATCGGGATAGGTGCCCCCAACTCCAACTCCCATCCTCCGCTCATCGCAAGCTAGTTCCCCGTTACCAAAAGCCAATCCCGCCGATACACCATTTTGTGGCTCTGCACCCCCCCCAAAAAAAAATCCCACTCAAAATGTGTAGGCTTATATCATGGGAAAGCTGCCGGTGGACCTTAGAGCCGCATGGATATGTAGATGCTGTGCATGAAAGTATGTCTAGAAAGGCCCTACGCCTAGCCGCGCCCCCCGCACTGTCTCGCGCGGCGCGCCCTCTTCGGCCACAACGAATAGAAACAAGATCTGTTTCCTCATCCGGCCATGAGCCCAGGTACTCAGATACGAGTCTCACTCCATATGTGGGAATTAAAGTACGTCGAGAAGCGAGGAGAACGCCGAGAATATTTTCTGTCGTGGATAGGGTATAATTGGCTTGCGATGGGGTCATCCCGTAGGAGTATATGTTAAGTACGCTGGTTGGTTAAAAGATAAGTTTTTCATGAGGATATTTCAATATTTTGCTCATGAAATATCACTCGTCTTTAGAGGAGCTAAAGAGGGCATTGAAATCGGAAGGGGGCGATAGAAGATACAGCCGCCTAGTTAGAGAATCTTTGCGACAAGCGACCTCCAGAAGACGAGATGCCCACCACAAGAATAGTAAAATGGGCGAACGCGCTCAAAGATACATCCTGATCACACAATATCACTCACGGGCCCAATCACCCATAATCACTCGCTTCAATTTTCCCCCTGAAAATAAAAAGATATTCTCCACATTTTACACAATCCGCCGTTTTACAACCCGCCCGTACTCACTCCCACACGCCGACTAACCAAAGAACGAAAGAAGGAAAAAAAGCAGAAACCCCCCCGCCAAAACCCAATAAGCACACAAATCCACCAAGAGAAAGCAAGAAAGAAGCAACTAAGTCAAGGTACAGTATATAAGTATGTATGACACCTGAGATAGAAGATGAGAAGAGAAAAGAGGCTTGCATCTATAAAACAAGAAGAGATGTATAAAGGCGAAAATAAAACAAAAAGAAAGAAAAGAAAAAACACCGAACCGTCAAACCATGCAGCCACAATAATGAAACAAAAACAATTAGTCCTACATCGTCCCCAGTTAATCTCAGACCCAGACTAATGGCACACGCCCCTGACCCCTTCTACCACCAGCCCTGTGACCACACCTCTCGCCACACCTCGCTCCTGCAACGCATCAAACACCACACCCCAGCACTCCCTACTTGCACCCGCTCCCATAAGCCCTTTCAGAGCCTCTGGCATACCTCGTTCGCCCACCAGTCTCCTGGCCTTCTCCCTCAACTCTGACTTCTCATCGTCAGACATCTCGACCACAGGCGGCCATGCAGCGCGCTCCTCTTTTGTTGGAAACCCGTTCTTGGTGATCTTCTTGACATGGGCTGCGATCGCGGCGTCGGCCGTGTTGGCGTCGATAACGGTTTCTTGGATGAGTACACGGATACTTTCTAGTGTGGTGTTGCCAGGCCGCAGAAGAATGTTCTTAGCAACGTTGAGGAGGGAGCGGCGGAAAAGCCAGGCAGAGGAGAGCGTGTAGAGCTCGCTAATGATCGCAAAGAAGATCTCGACGGCGAAAATCGTCTCGGATTCTGTTAGTGGTTCTGTTGTGGGTTTGGGTTTCGATGATGTAGCTGGGGCGGACGGAGCAGGCGGAGTTGGAGAAGTGGGGGGATCCATCGGTGGCGGGGTCGTACATATCAAGGGCGGAGAGGGCGGTACTGGTGACAGCGGTGCTTGAGTAGGTACCAGGAAGGCCGCAGCGGCAGACGCAGCGCGGGTTCGGGAGGTTGTTGTCTCCGGTTCGGGCCTGAGCAGTGAGGATGCTGCACTCCCGGAACGGGTCCGGACCGGAGCGGCATCGCTATCGTAGTCGTCTGGCATATCGCTTGGTGGTGGAGGCAGTGAGACAAATCCAGGCCCATCACCATCCACAGATGGTATCTCGAGTTGTATATACCCCTCCTTCTCTGTCTTCTGCACACGACCCATACCCATCAAGCTACTCCTCCTTGCCGGGAAGCTTTGCCTATTGTTCACCTTTACCACCGGTTCCTCCTCTTCCGGCTTCACTGGAGCTTCGTTCTCAACCTGTAATGATGTATCGCTCCGCCCTAGCTGCCGCAGACTCGACACATCAAGTGTCTGCCGTCTGTTCTCGCCATTGAGAGCACGTTTCATGAAAACGCCGCCAAATAAGCTCTTTCCACCCTCTGCCGCTCCTTGTGGTGCCTTTGTGAGTGCATCCAGCATCCCACCACCCATCTTTGCAAATGCCTGCGGGTTCGGCCAGTTCTTCCCCAGTCCTCCAAAAGCACCACCCGGAGAAGGCGCCTTATTGCTACCGTTACTGGCTTCGCTGTCCTTCTCGAGGAAACGCTTCATACCTTCACTTTCCGCGAGTATCCTCTCCTTCAGCGCATCATTGATATACCGCTCCAGGTGGTTCCGAAGCGCCTCTTTTGTACCGCCACGCCATGTGGGGAGCTCCGAGTGCGAATGCGTGAATGACTCGAGACCGCTGATGTTGGAGATCCTGCGTAGCACTTCGTGAAGCGTTTCGAAGTCTGTGAACTTCCTTGTCAGGATCCATCCAGGCACAGTCGAGACACCGGGCTCAATCTGGATAAGGTATACGGTGGAGGTAGGTTTTGACCGGAGCGGTCTATCGGCGGGGGCAGTGAAAGCACCGCCAGAGAATGGGTCGAAAACTTTTGTCTCGGAGGGAGGGGTGAGGTCTGAAACAGTAACGTTGGCTCTGTAGAGAGGGTCAAGTGGCTGTACGGGTGATGATGGGGTTGGACTCGGAGAGAGTAACTGGTCGAACGATGTGAATGTTCCGGGCTCAGCAGATGGTGAAACTGGTTCCTCTACGATCGTGGGCGGGCGAGAGCTTCCATTGTCAGAGCAAGAACGTATAGAAGCATTGTCACTGTTGAGATTAATTGAGCTGCCGTTCGAACTTGTACTTCCACTCGTGTTTCCATTTGCATCTCTTCCTGGGCCAAAATCTCCAGACACACGCTTTGCCTCTTCCTCTGCAATCATCGCATTGAGCTCCTGTGCCTCCCGCATCGCACGCTCCATCTCCTCTTCCGCGCGCGAGATTCGCTTCGCCTTCTGCGCCTCTGCCGCAGCTGAGACACGTGTATCATTGACCGCCAGTGTCGCCTCTCCAATATCAATCTTTTGCAGAATCTCTGGCTGCGTTTCCTTCTCAAGAAGATAGACAATCGTGCTATTTATCCACTCTGCAGACGAAAACTTATCCACCAGCTTCTCGAGCACTACACCCGCAATGATCTCAGTCAGGAACGTCTTGATCGGATCGCATGATGTTGCATCGGCGGGGACGAAAGTCGTGACGATGTCGTCTGCGGCCATCTTGAGCTTTCGCTTCTGCTCCCTGCGGTCAACGAGCTGAGCCAGGGCGCTGGAGGGGTACTCTTCAACATAGGTCCCGATTGAGGTTTGGGCGGTCTGGGCGAGCTCTCGGAAAAACACGATGAATGTGTTTGACGTGCTAACAAGGAAGAGGAGAAAGGTGTCTTTTGCACACTTTTGAGAAAGATGAGAGTGCATGTTGTAGAGAGTTTGGACAAGCGTCTGCCGACACGCCGTGGGGAAACTCTCATCTGTAGGAAGAATTGGGGAGAACCACCACCTGCGGGAGGATCAGTCTTACGATCGTTCTAAAAAGAGAGGGAAATGGCAATTGCAGCAGACCTCACATAATCCCTCGTCACCGCATCCGCCAAACCCGTGAACGCTGCTCCCGTCTCTGGCGGAAGACTCGAGAAATCCACAACCCGCTGTGACCTCGCAAATCTCTTTTAACGCACGCACCAGTCAGTCATGATCCGCGCCATTCAAAAAAAAAAAAAAAAAAAAAAAAACCGGCCCTATCCGCACACACCTTATGACCACCTGTGGACTTTTCACTCCCATTCTCACTTCCCGGGGGAGGAGAAGCCAGCGCGCCGTCCCCCTTCGTGTCTACCATCCGCTTATCCAGCCATTCCAGCACATCCACTCGATGTCCCTTCTTCCCGGACGCCCTCATGTTCTCCAGGCTCGCGTGGAGCACCACACCGCCAATCACTCCGACAATCAACAGCCCAAAGCTCCCGAATATCACGTAGAGCACGATGGTGGACCCTAGCATCACTCCGCCGAGTGTTTCTGGCGCGGCATGTTGTAGGAAGTCGAGGACGTGTGTTGCGGCCTCTGCGATTGTTGCTGAGCTGGTTGTACCTGAAGCTGTTTCTGGAGCTCCCCCTTCTTCTTCTGTTTTCCCTTCTTTTTCTTCCACTATTACTACTGTTGGCCCTTTCTCTTCCTCTTTGCTCGGGAGTGAGCTGCTTTTCGGAGCATCTTCGAGCTGTGGTGTCAGTGGAGGTGTACTTGGGATCTCGGTTGGCGTAGATGGAAAGTCAGCTGGCGTAGGTGTTGGGCCTGCCGGTTCCATATTTTTTTGTTGTTGGTGATAGGGGTGGAGGAGTGGGTGAGTGGTGGTGGTGGTGGTGAGGTATGGAGGCAGGAGAGGCAAGTTGTTACTATCGACTCGACAGGTATGCTGCAGAGAAAGCAGAGTAAGAACGCCCAGCCTCGCCTAACTAGCTGCTAGTAGCCGACTAATTAACGGTGCTGTTCCTGGCAGCGGTCGAGGTGATCGCGGCCACTGCAGGGCTGGCTGGCTGGCTGGGTGGGTGCTGCTCTGGACGGGAGCTTATGCTTAACCTGATTAGAGTGACGGAGATTACGGCGTTGGATAGCGATACAGTAGTGAGTAGTGAGTAGTGTATTGTATGTTAATTTGTAGCTGTGCGCCTGCCTGCCTGTCGTAGGAGAAGAAGAGAGATTGAAGCAATTAGTTACTCCTCGAGATCTCTCCAATTGTGTCAAAACTTATCGCAAGCTGTCCCCTGTAGATCCGTGTTGGGGGCGCAGGCAGAGTGGCAAATGAATGGGAGAAAGCGCCTCAGCTGGCCGGGGTGCACGGTCTTAATAATAAGGAAGCTTTGCCGGGGGAGAGGGGGCAGCAAGAATAGTATGGCATAGATATCGTCGAGAAGGAGCTGCCTCGTATCTACCACAGGTAGGCATCGTGTCGGGACATTATTTGACTATGCAGAGCACTGCGTGGAATGTACAGTACAGACAGATACTACAAGGTATATGATGCCGTTTTGTTTACCCCTTCAATTGGGAGAAACCATGGCGAGTTAACCCTAACCCTGCTATATCACTACATGTATCCCTATAATTATAACAGTAGAGTAACCATAGCACTATCGAATCACAAATTACACCTTACACCCGGGCTTTCGCTGTAGGTCATCAGTCTTTATATGTGGTTGTTGCAGTCAATCCATTATAATACACCATATTTACCATATTTACCATATTCCTCACGCTGGTGCGCCCAATCTACTATGCATGTGGATTTACCTACCCTTTAACCTCTGCAGCTGGACCTCATCTGCACCCAGCTCTACTGCCAACTGGTAGTAGTTCCTCCCGGCGTTGTCTAGCACCGCTCGGTCAGCACCCTTCTCCAGCAGCAGCTGTATCACATCCTCGCGCTGGTTCTGCACGGCGACATGCAGCCCCGTCTGCCCAGTCTCAAAGTCCTGTGCGTCCAGCAGCTCTGCGTCCATCTCGATCATTTCCAGAACGCTCTCCACATCACCTAGGCACCATTAGCCCTGCCAATCACTCCAACTGACCGTACCCTCTCAAGATTTACCTTCAGCACAGAACTCTAAAAAGGCCCTAACCTTCTTTAGCTCCGGATTCTCATCGTAAAACTCCTCCTCGTCGAGGAGCGCGCCGAGGTCAAGCCCGGTCTGGATACCGCCCTCGTTGCGGTAGGTCACAAGGAGTTTACCAGTCGCGGGGTCGAGCGTGGAGGTGCTGCAAGACGGGCATTGGCTTCGTGCGGAGTTGCTGCTGGTGTATTCTTCTGCGAAGCAGGACCTGGGAAAGCCCTACTTAGCACGGATTATAGAATAGTATAAGGCAGGAGGAGTAGCAGTACCAGTGGTAGTGGTGGCCACAGGGGAGCTCGATGTCGTCGATTATGCCGGCGCCTTGGTCGGGGGTGTCTTCATCTTCGACCGAGATGATAAGCGGTTCGGTGCAGGATGTGCATAGGGCGGCGGAGGAAGAAGAGGCCATTTTAGGTAAGGGATTGCTGTGAATGAGGACCTTGGGGGGGTTGTGGTTGTGCCTTTTTTGTTGGGATAGCAAATTCGTACCAGCAGGTCGGTCAATTGAACTTTTTTTTTTTTTTTTTTTGGGTTGCGTTACTAACAACCCATTATGTAAGTGGATCACAGACAGTCACTCGGAAGGTTTTTGGTGAATGAGTGGAATCATGGCTTTTCAAAGGGATACCGTTGTGTTTGTCTTCTTTGACACTTTGACTTCTGCAATCCACGACGATAGAACTGGCGGCATCCCCAAGTCTACAGATCAACCAGCGAAGCCACTACACCGTCAATATCCCCTCGATCCCGTCCTCTTCTACAGGATTGTATATTGAATCTATATCTATGTAGTACATACTCACACCGAGAGATCTAGACCGCTGAATGTCTATATAAGCACTAGCTCCACATAATCATAACTTATCGTTCCCACTCGGCACCCAAGCCCCACTCCTCGCCTTCCCAAAACACCAATCATCAATCCTCTTCCCCGGCTCTTTCCACCACTCCTGCTTTACATTAGCCTCCAGCTGGCCTAAAAACACCGACTCCAGTCTCTCCAACACATCTGCATAGTCACTCGCCACCCTCCGCATCTCCTCCATATGCCACAACTCCCACGCCGCCTCCAATCGCTGCTGCAAGCCTGGCGCTCCCTCGTCCCCTTCAACGCCATCAGGATGCTGGCGGAGAATATAGTACTTCTCTGGAGGCTCACCAGCGAGTGGGTGCTCGTAGGTATCTCTTGTAAATACCAACACCCGTAGCTTCTGTAACTGACGGAATGCAGTTACCATTGCGTCGTGAGGAGCCACCCAGTCGTGGATATTGCCGCTTTGCGTTCCTGCAGAGAGCCAGAGGTGAGTCAATGATTTGACGCCTCCTATACTCTCCAGGGCTCGTATGTCAATCGTTTTGGTGTCCCAAACGAGATGCAGGTTTGTCAGGTGTCGGAAATCTGTGAGCGTGGGGAGAAGAGTGCCTAGGACCAGCGAATCACTGGGACACGGTGCAGTGAGCGCATGCAGCTGCGAATTGGTGCCAATGAAGACAACATCTGACGAAGAGAGGGAAGCAGAAGTGTGGTAGACTTGCAAGGTGTCTATATGCCCATGGCGGGATAGGTATTTGGATGCCGAAGAAGAAGCTACAGTGAGAGTACGAAGTCGTAGCTGCGGATTATTTTCTGATATGAGTGCTTCTAAGAGCTCACTATCAATCTCTGTATTCTGCAGTACCAAGCTACGAAGCTGCGGGAATCGTAAAGGAGGATCGGTTTCAGCAGCATCAAATCTCATTACTTCACCATTCACCCACTCCAATTCTTCCAATGTTTGGGCTGCAGCCTTCAAGATGCTCATACACAGCGGTGCCGTACTAACGTTGTCGCAGCCCTTCGCCCTTTGAATATCCATCACCAGTCTCCTCAATCCCCACCTCGGCCGCCCGTCCACCACAAACTCCCGGTCCACAAACACCCCTGCCATCTCTAGCTCTCTCACCCCGGAAGCAGCAATAGCATTCATCAGCTCCGGAGTAATACACACCTTATCCTCCCACCTTAATACCTCTAGATTCGGCAACGAATATCTCAGCGCATCGCTCAGATTTCTCACATAAACGTCAAAGTAATTATTTGCCACCAGCTCAATCGCTCTTTCCCTCGACACCTCTGGCATGAACAGCGACGGAAGGTCCTCTAACTTCCACCACCTCACAAAGAATGATTCCATCAGTATGACGGAGGCTACGGTTAAGATTCTCACACAAACGCCCAGCGTGGGACTTGATATCATATGATTTTCCATTCGAGCCGCCGATTCATCAGCAAGTACGTTCCGTATTCCCGATGCTGCAGGCGTCGTGTAGGCAAGATGAATACTCGCAAATTGCCGTGACCGCGCTAGTTGCCGGCAAGCAGTATTTACGAGCGCCATTGAAGCCAGATCGGCGATGGATAGAAGCTCTGTGATGTGATCCAGCAGCTCTGAGGGCAATTGAAGGAGTGATGCCCCGGTATTAGACCCCTCACAAACCTGGGAGAACCAGAGAGGATGGGTAGGTTTGGCATTGTGAGCACCACAGAGGGTCTTTGTGTAGAGAGCTTGGTCGGTGACAAACGTGGTCACGTCGAATGCATGTTTGAGGGCGTGGGAAGATGACATTGTGGACTGACTGATTGTCTATGGGTAGTAGTTAAAGACAGAAAGCTGACTGCCTTCATATGGGTACTCTTTTATATTCGGGTCACTGTCTTGCTGAAATGTGGCCCTGAAGAGGCAGCAAATCAGAAGAGACTTTGATATCTGTTAATGCAGCACCCTGCATAAAGCCTTGGCGCTCCATGGATTGGTTAATAAAACGGATGATCTGCGCACTTGATAGGGGCATGCAGGTTCTAGAGTACCGTTTGTGGGGGAGGGGAAAGATCTTTTTTTTCTAGCCATGGATTGGTTGAATCATACCTAATGCTTATGCCCCAGAGAGCTGCTAGGCTTGGCCGCCTAGATAAATATTGGTTTTCCTGAGAGATCGCAACTATATAAGTAGTTACCTACATACTGAGAAAGCACTGCTAATAGGGAAATAAACTTAATTGAAGTCAAGCTTCGAAGCAGAATGAAGGGAAAGAGGTTGTCGGTCATTAACAAGGGTTCCACTACTCTAATCTGATAGGTAATAAGAAGCACCTGCAAGGACGAGTACGGAGTGCACCAGGGAGTGTTGTCAGGTGTTTCTTATCATGCATAGAAACAGAGTAGAGTGTCAGGTAGACTGGGTATTCAAAAGCTGTGAAGCTGTGTGGAGTAGGTACATTCCATTTTCAAGTCAGTATGATAGCTCATGCCCGTAGCTGTTGTACTATGCTTATCTGTGGTTTATCCTCCTGTGAATATTGTCTGCACACCCCATAATGCTCACCCCCGCCAAACCCCACAACATTTCGCTGTAATTCCGACTCCTGATATTCAATAGTTTCGCATCTTGCGCCATTCCAACACACAATAAGACAACCCTCTGTGTCTAGACCCGGATCCCCAAGTCCCACCACACATAAGTTTGGTTTGCCGGTTACCAGACCACCAATAGAAACAAAGATCAACACTGCACTGAACCCTGTCAAGGCCCTGCATTATCTGCTTCAGTCAACCACCCACCTACCTATTTTTTTTTTCCCAGCGTCAACCCGCGAGAAAAATTTGAAATACCTACATGTACATACCCCCGCCGCTACCACCATAGGCTTTTCAAGCAATTGATCCCGAGCACCTTCAAAACCCCCATTGGCCGCGTGAGATAGCAACCGGTCATATGAATAGAAAATTGCATAAGCTAGATATTATAACCCACCCTCCATAGGAGCCAATTCAGTTGGCACCTAAAAAAACACCATACTAGACATCTTACCTGAAATATTAGAGTTAGCATAGCCATGCGATTATCCGCCACTGTTTTTCTTGCTTTGGAAGGGTGGGCCTGGATGGAGTGGAATGGCTTTCGAGATTCACTCCTAAATAGTCTGGCTGGCTTTGAGTAAAGACTTTAGCTTCATCATCAACATAATATAGCATCGCCTTTACGGGCTAGATGACGCGGAAGGAAATAGAAGTTTAATTGTCTTGTGCTGGGTCATAAACTATCACTCGACCAAAGCGTTGAAACTCTGATTTCTTAACATAGTAAAGCCTCGTGTCTTACTCGATTTTTATTTGATATTTCAGTATATATGTATCTCAATATATAACAAGTCTTCCACTAATCTAGTATCAGCAATTGGAGATTTCCCGAGAGCATTATTAAGTGAGGCTAAGCGGTAAAAATAATTCTAGTCTTGTAATAGTTAAAGGTAAATTATATTATGAGGGCCTTGACTAAATTCAGGTAAACTATCAAACTTCATAGACATAGGCTAGATGTAATTTAATAATGATAATAATTTCCGCCGTTATATTTTTTTCGTCCCCTATAATACTAACTCGTATGATGGCGAACCATCAGACATGCGGAGAGATCTCCTAAAATCTTATGACGCTATGTCAAGTCTTAAACAGATAAAAGGTCCCTCTTATCCTCCCCTACTGTTGCTCAAGTCCCTTACAAAGAATATATAGAAATATTCCAAACAATGGAATCAAAAAAAAGGAGTGTAACATCACTGTAAAAGACCAAAAAAATACAAGAAATGATATCCGATCTTTTATAACCTTTTTTTTAGTTTCGCCCTATATTCCTTCTCAACTATTTCGAGCGAATCCGGGTATTTTGTAACCGAAGTTACTAACTTTTAATTATAATAATGTTAAAGTAGCCTAAATTCAACCACGTGGTTAGCGATATTAAAAGAATAGAATGGATGTATCATACCAAAATGGCCAAAATTTTAGGTCCAGCTGCCAAAAATTAAATCAATAGTTAGCTAGGCCCGGGATGGAAGTTTCAAAGTAGAAGTCAATCATGATCATACCAGCGGCTGGCAAAGAAATCACTGAATCTGGATTCTCCATTCTCGGGAGCTGGAGTAGCAACCTGATCAACGGAATTACCACCTGGCAATGGATGACCATCACCATCAATGATTTCATCTTAAAAAACACAATTAGTCAAATTATTATGGATACAATCAATTGAAATAAGCTCTGGAACTTACGGGCATAGCAGCAGCGGCTTCCATAAGTGCAACCACCGTGTAACCACGCCATACAAGTTTTGGTCTTCCATTGTCCATGACGGGGAACTATGCGGAGCTCCTTCTTTCCATGAGCAAACTGGCAAGAGCGACCATAACGGCATTCCCCAATTTCATTCCAGTTACGGCACATCTCGGTCTTGTAGAGGGCATTGGTCTTCTTATTTAAGTGACGCGGCGGAAGACTAGCAGGGTTTTCAGCAGCAGGCCTTGTCGGGACCATAATCAATGGCCCATGCTGGACATTCTGAGCCATATGGGTAACACGACGGTCATTTTCGTCATACATCCCATCAAAGTGTTCACGCTGCTGTGGATTGAATCGACGGGCAGGGGAAATAGGCTGGTCATAGACTGGCTCAAGAGGCTTCTCGACGGCCTTGATCAGAGTGATAGAATGTGTCAGAAAAACATTTGAGAGATTGTTCATAAATCATGGGCAAAGTTACCGGAAACATCATCCTGACATAGCCACCGCTATTGACACGCAAGTCAGTCTTTCTGTCAGTTGCACTCTGTAACTCAAGGTCTCTACATGAAGATGTCAGCAGATGTAAAAGATTTATGGAAGAGAATTGAGGATTGGGGATATGTTACGCAGCAGATTCATTATAGGTTCTTCCTCCATTCGAAGGGTAAAACTCATTGTTTTCGCGATAAACGAAACTACTACCTCTAGCACCTTGATCACTTCCAACAGGAGAGGAACTGGCGACTGAGGATGTGGCATCAACGAAAGGGTCAGGTCTTTCCAACATCTCTGGATACACAGCGAAGTTTTGAGGGTCTGTAGGGCGGTAGTAGTCGATTTCTCCGCCACGAGCAGGAGTAGCATAGCTAGATCCTGGCTCAGACTGGGGTTGTTGCAATTGGCCATGTGTAAACATTTCGTAGTTGGTGTTAAGCGGGTAATCGTGAGTGCCACAATTGACTCCAACCTCGCGCTCCTTGACGTAGGGACCGTTCTTGAGGTAAAGTTCCTCGCGAGCCTTAACAGAAAGGCGGCTCTCGAACATCTGTCTCAAACCAATGGCAGCGTATAGATCAATTTCGGCGGGCACACGAATAGCATACAGTCCAGGGATATCAATATTGCGCACTAAACAAGCACACTGGCCATAAAATTCGATGGGCTTGTCGTGAAGAAAGAATTCGATGACGGCTCCTTCAGGGAGGTAGTAAGGCTCACCCTGGCCTGGTGGAGTGCCATCGTAGACTTATTGATGGAGAAAAGTAAGTACACAGGGGGGAGGGAAAGGGGAAAAAAAAGACAAAATGAAACATAGAAGGGACCAGCATACCATTGACCCTTGGACTCGCAGCGGGTTCGATTAGGTGAGTCTTAGGGGGGGAAGTAGGACTCGATTTAACGGGTGAATTCGAGTGATTAATCATGGCTCTGGACTGTTGCATTAAATTATGTCAGCGGAAATCCTACACAAAAACCATTCAACAAGAAAATAGTGACTGAAATGATACGAAACATTGACGGAATTTTGGTTATGACGATGTGTAGCCATCAAAACAATGAATGAATGCATAAAAAACTCTTCAACAGTCATGATCAATTGACCAAGCGGGCTCAACCAATTGCAGTCCTCTAACAAAGAGATGATAAATAGCAGCGGAAAACATAAGAAATCCACGGAGCCAGCAAAACAAGACAAAAACCACATATACACATGTAGTGGTAGAAAAAAAAACGAAAAAACGAAATGAATGACAGATTCTTACCTCAACCTGCTTCGTAGGTTCAATTTCTTCGAAAACGACCTCTTTCCGAGATGAAAGATTAAAAAAGTTTTTTCCTTCAGGCATGTTGAAACAGTCGTTTGTTTTCTTTTTTTGGTTATTTAAAAAATGGGGTTTAAAGTGGGAGAAGATCGTAGCTAGAAGAAATGATAGTGAAGAGCTTATTGCTCAACCAAAGAGAAGGTAGAATATGAAAATTTGGATATATCGTGATGGGGATGAGAGGGGAGATGAGGATGAGAAGAAGGAGAAGAAGTGATGGGGAATGGAAAAAAAGATGAGTGGGAAAGAAGTGGGGGGGCGGTGGCTATTTAACTTCTGGGTGTCTACCACAGATCACTCTGGGGTGAGTACAAAAGCGATTAGTGCCGTAAGTTGTAGTAATTTATTAGTACGTTTGTATATTGCGATATCGGGGTACTTCTTAGGCTAGTTGAAAGTATAATCCTCGTATGGTCCACCCCTCATCAAGCATTGTATTTCGTTAACTCAGCCTGGCGGTCCGCTAAGCTTGACATGAGATATACAAACATTTCCCCTGGCCCTTTCCATAGCTATTTACACATACCAATATCACTTACATTTAATTACTACTTGATGGCATGAAGGTTGGAGCAAAATACCCGACTACATGTAGCCAATGTAACGTTGAAACTTATCTAACCTGGGGTGCGGGCCATTGGACCGCATGCCTGCCCGCCGTTCAACATGCCCTATTAACATTTAGTCGTATTAGTTAAAATATGTACTCCCCTACCTAACTGCTAATTATCATACCCTATTATTATTTGGCGGTAGTACTACTACGACTATATGTATATATTGTACCTAACTCTAGCTGTTGCTAGAAGCGTAGTGCCTCCTTACCAAGTATGGGTTTTGCCCTCACAGAAGATATGTTTATTAAGATCTGCTTATGATCTTTTATTCATTTAAAGGTCCTGGTACTAGCGGATGTCTACGGGACACTACAGAAATTACAATACCCAAACCGGCGGCCTTCTCATATAATAGACATACTAGAGGCTCTGTTTCTTTATTACTCTTTCCCATCAATTCATTCATCTTCCCGCCGATCAATCTGGCCCTTTTCTAGACCCTGGTCACATCCTCATGCCCGTACAATGGAACTTTCTCCATGAATACATGAACCTATACCAAAATGATCTCACAATCACGTTGTATTCTTCTTGCTCCCATAATTATAATACGCTTGGTCAGATCTCACATGGCCACATTGCCTTTCCTATTCGGTCTTCCACAGCCTCCTACTGTAGCTAGAATTACTTCACTTTACCTGTGACAATGGAGTGGTGTGTTTTGACATGCTTTTGTACTTCTCCCTGTTTACTGAACAAGAATAGGTTCGCTCAAAAGGGTTAAAGTGAAGAATTACCCACGAGTGAGATACTATGACTGTGATATCACATATCCCATAATCTTTTCTTACGTAGAGACGAACTTGAATAGACGCCTGCTTTTTGTTTGAATTTATTGTGACCTCGACTGAAGGAGAACTCCACGAGTGATATATCATGATTCTTGGCACATGAAGACAAATTTTGAGCGTGCCAGAGATTCCCATGGTTGTTTTACTTGATAATATGACGTTAACATACATAGAAGTATATAAAAACCATATCATCAAGTCAACTAAATAGACAAGAACAGATAAGGTGAACCAGTCTAGGTGTTCCATGGAAGCGGAAAGCTACCAACCCATTCCTTAACTTCCTTTTTGAGATCTTGCACTTCCCCAACCGAGCTTCCATCCCCAACTACCTTAAAGAAATCCTTAAGCAACTTTTTCCCGCCTACTCCCTCATCAATCTTCTTTGCGATCTTCACCGCCTGATCTACAATCACCGCAACCTTTTCGAAGTCTTCCTCGCCAAAGCCTCTGGTTGTCATCGCCGGTGACCCCAATCTCAGACCACCAGGTTTAAGCGCTGAAATATCACCAGGAACAGTGTTCTTGTTGGCAGCAACGTTGACGAGTTCCAGAATACGTTCAACACGGGCACCATCAATACCCTTTGGTTTTAGGTCGACAAGAACGAGATGATTGTCAGTGCCACCAGAGACAACTTCGTAGCCATCCGCTTGAAGCTTATTGCTCAGTGCTTTTGCGTTCTTAAGCACCTGCTTTTGATAGGCCACAAACTCGGGAGTAGTAGCTTGCTTCAGTGCCACCGCAAGTGCTGTGATCGTGTGGTTGTGAGGGCCGCCCTGATGGCCAGGGAAAACGGACGCGTTGATGGGATTTTCGAGATCGTACAGTATTTGCTCACCCTTCTTATTGGTTGAGCGGACACCTTTTCGATAGAATATCATTGCTCCTCTGGGGCCACGCAGCGATTTATGACTAGTTGTGGTGACAATATCGGAGTCCAAGAATGGTGAATCCGTCACATCAGCTGCAACGAGACCAGAAATGTGTGCCATATCTGAGAGAAGATAGGCACCATATTTGGTCGATATGGCTTTCATCCTCTTATAGTCTATTATACGGGAGTATGCCGACGCACCGGCAATGATGATCTTTGGGCGATAGAGCTCTGCGAGTTTTTCAAGGTTTTCGTAGTCAATGAGACCAGTCTTCGGATCAAGACGATAGGGAAGGGTCTCAAAGTATTCAGAAATTTTGGAGATCTTCTTGGAAGGAGTCTGGTATCCGTGTGATAAATGACCACCATGAGGGAGATCAAGTCCCATGATGCGTTCATGAGGACGAAGGAGAGCAGAGTATGCATAAAGATTTGCAGGGGCTCCAGAAAGAGCTGTGTTTTGTTAGACGGCCGAAAAGAGGATTCGTCTAATAGATGATGGAATTGTACCTTGAACATTGACACCCCACTCCTCGGGATTAAGTCTGAAGGCTTCCAAAGCACGTTGCTGACATAGCCTTTCGGCCTCGTCGATAAATTCGTTTCCACCATAGTATCTAGCACCAGGATATCCCTCCGAATATTTGTTTTGCATGGGAGACCCGAGGGCCTCAAGAACTGATTGCGAGGTAAAGTTCTCTGAGGGGATCAAATTGATAAAATCTCTTTGACGAATTTTCTCCTGTTTGGCATTAGACGTCTGGTTCAATACCCAGCAGGTATTGGAGTACTAACCTTCTCGAGAATACTTGAGATAGCAGGATCTGAGTCTGCTAAAGTTGCTCTTAGGAGCTATGAGGACAAAGGACATAAGCAATTGACATCCTAAGGTAAGGATTACACTTACCTGGTCCTGAGCAGCACTAAGGTTTCCAGCACGGCGAGCAATTGATGTAGAGAACCCAGCAGAGGCATTCTTGCTGAAGGCAACAGCCTGGCGACGGAGTACTGAGCGAGCAAGCATATTAACAGCGCTCAATGGATAGAGATTGGTTGTCGAAAGTTGAAATTGAGATGAGTCAAGTGTGGGTTTTGTTTTTCTTTATGTAGGTAGATTCGTCGGCTGGCGGGGATTCGTCGGGGAATAGCTAGTAGTATTTCGGTATTACGTAGCTGTCTACCGGCTTCTCTTGACTAATTTGAACTTATTCTGGACCCTGTAGGCTCAGATAGGATTTACGTTCGGGAACGCTGGCCGTTTTACCTCAAACCCTACATTGCGTACCCCACCAACGGCCCCGAGGCAGGGTAACTCTATCGTATCATTAAAACACTCGGTAAAGCGCAATGCTTAATAAACTCCTGCTGCTGTACTTAAAACCTTATGATGGACATGCGCGTCTTCTAAAACGTGAAAATCCTCGGGGCCTCGGGGTCTTGCCTTTCTTATACATGTAGTTTCCCTACTAGCGAGACGATCTTGACGTGGCCGTATCTACTATACATAGAATACATACATGTATGTAGTTATTTTTTCACTGTTGCACATATATCAGCTATGGCAGCCGATATGTTGTATCCACATAGATAGATCCGTAGCTGCAAGGTAGCTACAGTTTCTGGCTTGGGTGGGGGAATGCGTTGGATGGGAAGTGCAACTAGCGCGGTCCCGTTGAACTTGTGTAGAGTAGGAGCTCACCGTTTCGTTCTTCCAAGTGTCGCGCGCATCTACACTGCACTACTGGTGATGATGTAGGACACATGTTTGATTGACTCTCAATGGGGCAAATGGGTGGGATGCATACGACAAGACTCTATCCTCTAGAGTACTTCTCCACGGACCATATTCATGCATCAGGCACTCCTGCAGGTACGAAAACTGTCTCGCCAGAAACTTAACCTTAAACCGCCTCCAGGCATAACCAGACCACTATTAAGCCGGGTAATCCCATCATCTGCACTCAGAATTACTTAGAGGCGCGACCAGGTGCCCAGACGCGAGCAGCGCGCGTTCAACGACCTTGCAGCAAGCCGAAAATAGGAAATATAGGGTTGTCGCTGGAACGCGCGTTTTCTTTTTGCGGAAATCTCCTAAATGACAAAGGGTCCCGATCACGGGAGCGGTGGAGATTCCTTTTCATGTGCCTCCCCAAAACAAATAATGGTCTACACTCTACCGGCCTACCTGCCCTAAATACAATACCATTTGGAAATAAGCAAGCCAAGCTGTTTACTTCAGCCGTATGGTTAATAACTACATGTAGGTAGAACAGGTAATCTTTCTACCGAAAAGGAGTAAACCCGGTAGGGCTAAAATAAGAGTAATGAGCGGCGTAGATGCGGTGCCATAGCTTGGAAGTGATAAAGTAGGCAATATGCTTGGAAAGAAAACACTGTACCACCGGAGCACATAATATCTCGGTAAACCGAGGGTCATATTTTATATCCAGCGAGCTGCTGACAGTCTAAGCATGTATGGGATGCAAATCCTCCGTCCCCTAGAATCCGGTTTCGCACAAAATCTATCTTCGCTCCACCACAAGAGTAAAAGACGCGTGGGACATGATAAAGTGCACCAGGATAATCCTTACGTCGTTGTGTACATAGGCGGCTGTTTCAGCTTCCTGCGTGACAGGTTTGTGTGTGTGAACCGTTGTATCTATGGGCAAAAACCTTCTGGCTAAGATCGGCTGCCGTGGCGAGTAGTCTGATACAGGGGTGACCAAAACAACAGGCGGTGGAGGCGGGGGGATATTTGGAAAACTAGACTGAGGCTGCTGCAGTGAGATTTGAACAAGAAACCTGCCCTGTCTGTGTGTTCTCAGTGGTGCTCGCTCTTGTTTGGGCGTTTCCTCTCCGTCCTCTCTAACACCTCCCTCTTTCTCTGTTGTTGTTGTTGTTTCCTCCTGTCAATCAATCGCACTGGCACAGGTAACTAGACTCCTTATATCCATTATTCTCCTAGCTGCTTCTCCCTATTATTCTTCTGTCTCTGATCTTCAGTCGCTAACGGTCAACCTGCCGTAGTCCCCTCCAGCGCCCCTCCTCAATTGAACCTCCCTTCAGGTCGATAGAGACATCAGTAGCAGCAACAACGATATTTGCGTCTCATAGAGTACGTACATTGCTTTTACCTGCATGCTGCACTCGCCTCTCTAGACTAAACTATAACGACCAATACCGGAACGAATAACGAGATTCACGAACAAAAATATCCTTAAAATAGACACGGACACCCGGTTCCGAAATCATTTCATTTTTCTGTCTGTGTGGGTGTGAAACGGAATCGAGGCAGGGTACGAATATACCTACAGCAAATATTTCTGTGGTGTGGCTCCAGTTACCTCCACCAAATCTACATTCCTCCTTCTCAACCTCCATTCGACTTTTTCTTGTGCCGAAGAGTTGTTTGCTGGATTAGTGTACAGCTTTCAATTCCACCCCTGATAAAGAAGAAATCCCCGGTGTGGAGCCGCAGAAACACAAACAAGGCCATTCTACGACATCACACTCCATTTAGTCTTTCCCGAGACTTATATCACCATTGTTATTAGCCATTCTAGAATCGGAATTTCGCCTGTCTACACTTCCATCTAAGGCACCATAAGAATCATATTACCGATACTAAAAAGCCAACCGGGCCAGAAGCTTCCCCACCCTTTTAACCTTGGTCCAAGCTTGGGCCTGATACCCCACAATCATGTCGGAAACGATAGCATACCTGTTAGCTCGTGCAACGACAGAGGCAGCAGCAGCAACATCCACAACAGCTGCTGCAGGCCACGGCGGGCTATCCTCGGCAGGGCGACCGCCAGTGTACATACCCCTTCCAATCACCCTCCAAGCATAAACTAACACCTCGCAACAGCTACAAAGCCGTCGGAGTTTCACTCGCAGTCGCCTCGGGGGTCTTTATCGGATGTTCATTCGTGCTCAAGAAGAAAGGTCTATTGGATGCAAACATGAAGGATGGAAAAGAGGCGGGGGAGGGATATGGGTACCTTAGAAATGGGTGGTGGTGGAGTGGAATGATCTTGAGTGTGTTTTATTCTATCTTTTTGGGGGACCAAAAGAAAGAAGCCAGGTTACTGATATGGTCGTGATGGTAGTGATTATTGGAGAAATTTGTAATTTCTGTGCTTACGCTTTCGTTGAAGCTATCCTGGTCACGCCTTTGGGTGCTCTTGTAGGATCTCTTCTTCTCACGATTGTGCCACTATTAATTTTTGCTAACTCACTGGGGTATCAGTCTGTCGTCATAACTGCCATTCTTTCGTCCATGTTCCTAAATGAGCGGCTTTCATTTATCGGTAAAATAGGTTGTTTCATGTGTATAGTGGGCTCTATAGTAATCGTCATAAATGCACCCGAACAATCTTCCGTATCGACAATCCAGGATATGAAAGGATTCATTCTCTCGCCTGGGTTTCTGTCGTATGCAGGTGTTGTTATAGTGGGATGTGTAGGGATAGTAATATGGATTGCACCAAAATACGGTCAAAAGAGTATGATGGTATATATTAGTGTCTGCTCATTGATAGGAGGCCTCAGGTAAGCCACATTCAAGTGAGGGGAAGAGTAGGTGCTGACAAAATGATGCAGTGTTGTTGCAACACAAGGGCTTGGTGCTGCAGTAGTAACACAAATCTCAGGAACACCCCAGTTCAATCAATGGTTCCTTTATGTCCTATTTGTGTTTATTGTTATAACACTAGTCGTGGAGATTATTTATCTCAATGTAAGCAGTTCACCCCTACCTCCTGGAAGTCTTAATTACTAAAAGAATTATAGAAAGCGTTGAATATCTTCAATGCTGCGCTCGTAACGCCGACCTATTACGTGTTCTTTACTAGCTCCACGATTGTAACAAGTGCAGTCCTATTCCGCGGTTTTAAGGGAACCCCTAGCTCCATTGCCACTGTTGTAATGGGGTTCCTTCAAATTTGTGCCGGCGTAGTTCTCCTCCAGCTCTCCAAGAGTGCCAAGAATGTACCTGACACTGAAATCTTTCGAGGAGACCTCGACCAAGTCCGCACGGTTGCCGAGCAATCCGAGCCTGAATCAGAACCAAAAGCAGATGCAATTCGTGGTACTGCTGCAATTATCCGTCGTATTTCTGTTGCAAGACAGAAGATGGAGCAAGAGGAGGCGAAAAGGATTAGGGAAGAAAGGTTAAAGGATATGCTAAATGTACCATTGCACGATGGGGAAATGGTAGAATGGGATGGTGTGCAAAGGAGGGTTACCTGGAGTGGTAGTTCGGGAGATGGGCCAAGAAGAAGGAATACCACCAGCGGGCCTCACCCCCCATTAGGGATGAGTAGGATGCCTGATTTGGAGGAGGGGACAGAGGGGGAGTTTTCTCCCGTTGTGGCAAATAGGAGGAGGAGCATGAGCGTTGATGAAGCTATGAGACGACAAATTTACGACATCGAGGCTGAGACTGAAGAAATACACCCACAAAGCTTTGTTGGAAGAGTCAGGAACTTATTTGTCCCTCGCCCACGAAGTAAAGCGAGTCTCCGGGATGAGACGGATGTTGTAATAGCTGTCACCTCGCCTCACCGAGACATCACAGATCAGGGTTTGCCGCCGCCCTCTCAAGGGCGTGCCTACGGTGATCTTTCCGCGCCACTGCCTTTGAGAGAGTTTTCAGGCGATTACCATCATCAAATGGGCTCGAAATCATCGCCACAGATGACCATTACACCCTCAGAAGGGGAATTTTCCTACCGTGACTTCGCGTCAGAATCACCTCCTCCGCTGCCAAAACACGGGGTGAAGAGAACTGTCGATGCTGGGAGCGACTACACTGCTATTCCCCCGAGAGCCCCTCGCTCTGCACCAGGACATATGAATAGTCCTGTGGTACGGCCGATGCTTACACCGACAACCCCACAAACCCCACATAGCGCTCATAGTACCGATTCAGGATTGCGACCAGATAGTGCAGATCACACCTCACGGAGACAATTTAGTTTCCAGTCTGTGTTTGGCAGACATTCGCGATCCCACTCTCGGGATAGTCATGGCGAAGGGGCCTCTGATGTCCCTCTTCCGCTCCCTCATGCACACTCGCATCTATCACATCCTCATCTCCCGGCTAGACTGCACGGGCTACGCAGAAAGAGCATAAGTGGTATCCAGGACAAAGGCATATCAAAGACGGAAGAGGAGAGTTTAGGTTTGGTTAAAGGCGATAGCAGAGCAAGTACATTGGACTACGATAAAGAAACGGGCAGGTATGTTGAGAGCGACGATTCAGAGGAGGAAAGAGAGCGGGAGAGGCTACGCAGAAAAGAGTGGGGAGGCGGTGGAGATAGCAAAAGAGGAGGTATGTAAGTGACTAAAGATGTTTGAGTATCCATGCTTGTAAAGTGGATAGGGTAATGTTTTAGTTCTTTGTATGTTTTTCTTTCTTTCTTTCTTCCTATTTTCCCACGGGTTCATTTTTACCTTGATATATATTGGGTGCGGGCACGATTGGCATGACATTTGATTACGACTCTCATAATTTTTTTTTTTGGTCAATTGGCAATAAGTTGTGGGAATTTTTTTTTTGTCTAAATAAAATGGTATCTGGGTGGGAGAATTCGGGGGTCATATCATATGTTCTTTCTATTTTTGATACATGGACACTAGTTTTCCATTTTAATTCTCTCTCTCTGGTTTCTGCTTTCCTTTCTCATTTCCCCTGCAAAAGCATACACATAAAGACAATACCAAGCAGACCTTCGGGGGTTCCTTTTCCTTTTTTTTAAAAAGAGCATTTTTAGAGATTCGACGAGTTTTTCGATTGAGTAGTTTTGTACGTCATGAGTAATTGGCAGTTATAGAGGCCTATACTAGCTAAGCAATGAAGTACACCTCAATTTTCGTCATATGCAGGTTGGAAAGGATTGAATTTTAAACTACTATTTACAGAGAAATAGTTAGACTGTATCTATCCCAAATAATATTTTTGTTCTCCAGTAAACTTGATGCTGGCCGGAAAAGTCGATTGACACCGATCTCCTTGCAATTACTTTAGTGGCATTCTAGCCGCAGGGTCTGGAGCGTTTAGTGGTGATATTACCTGCATCACCAGTTATGATTCGGTTTGTGTAGTGCCACGTGGGCTCTTAGTATTATAGGCCGGAAATCGCCCCTGACCAGAACAGACCTTGACTACATGTAGATACATGTACATACAGAACAGACCTTTCTATTTATAAAGTATAGCTCCTCACGATTCTACACTAGTGCTTTTCATCTAATCCGTGGTAGACCTTCTTTCGCTTTTGGCTTGTATATTAATTCCAAAGATACTCGATAGCCGAACAAAGGTACAGAAATTATACATTCAATTATCTAGAAGGTGGAAGGGCGAGTCAAATCACAGCCTATGGAATTGAAAGCAAAATTGAGGAACTTGATATGTCTAAAATCCAAACCATCCACTAGGCCTCCGAAGTTTTATAATTTATGATGCGTAGCTCGATCTCAGCCCTTTTTCCGATACTTGCCACGCAGAATACATATAGCTAGGAAAGGAGGCCAAATAAAATCAGCACTAGCCGTATAGAGAAAGCGTTCTAGCTAAATAAGCGGTGGGGGTTTGGAATTGTAAAATATCTAAGACTAACCACCACCATAAGCCTAAAGGGAATGTATTGGACAATTATAAAGAACTCCAGCAATCTTGAGACCACCGCGTGAGGAAGTAAAGTAATGAGAACAAATAACCGAATAAGTAGTGAGATAATGATATCGAAGGTGCGGTTTCCGCAAATACCCAACAAACCCCGTTTATGAGTTTCTCATCTGTGGCCTTGAAGTTCACTCCACAGAAAATCTCCTATCAATGTAAATATGTGTAAGCTGGACCCCAATCTTCGTTGGGGGGTAAGGTCGTGTTGGTCTGATGTGATGGAGGAGGGCCGGGGGATAGGTTTCTCATTTACGATGTTTGAGTGATGGCAATGTGATTAGTGATCTAATTAGCTAACACGGGGGAATGATATCAGGAGTCAACTAGCTATTATAAGGGCAGTGTTGAAGGTTTAAACTGTTTACCATGCGTCACGTCAAATAATGAATGTTACCTCAACTATACGACCTTAACGCTGTCAATATACCCCTTCAAGAGAAGCTAGGAAGGCTTTCATTGCGAAGTTTCGGCACGACTCAAATTTGCCAAGACGTAAATACATGTACACCAGTGCTACAAATTCGAGGTTATGAGCTTCTTCCGTTACGTGCTAACACAGTTACCCCTTCCTCTGTTTTCAAGGTACGAATAGTGGGCAGCAGTATTACTGCATCAAGATTCGTGCTGTTGCTAACACCACTTTAATTCGGTATCACTATCACCTCTCTAGACCTCGCCGTGAAGCGCTGTGACCTGTATCAACCTCTTCCAGGAGTTCTGATTTCCTGCATGGGACTTTTAATGGTCATATTAAACACCCCGATTATTATCTTGTAATTATGGTTTGTATGGTGATTGAAAAGAGTGGTTTGTCGTGGGTTTCAATTGCTTCATGACGTCTATGAGCTCTAGGTCCCTGTAGTCTGTCAATGTACCACAGAGGTACGTGTAGTTAGCAAGCTATATGTATGCAACTACAACATGTAGGTACATGGGTATTCGTACGTCTGTAAACTCAAATCTTGAATCGATATGATAATATAGCTGTCCAAAAATACATGTAGTACCATCGAGTGCGGGAGCTGTTCAGTTCGTCATGAGAATACCTATTGCAGATTCCTGGCTGGGCAGGGGAGTTTCCTGGAGCTGCCAAGCCTGGAACCTCGTCATCCGCTCCGCCCCACCAAGAGGTTTAATGTGTAAAGCGGCAAGCTGACTCAAAGGTGCAAGAGGTGAGCATAACGAACTCATAGGTTCTGAAATCGGGGTTTCCTATCGGTAAATCAATAGAGAATACATTAATCTCAAAGATGGGCACGAAACCAGTCGCAGAATGGTTCTGTAGATTCAGACCCTGGCAGAGGGATGTGGCTCGGGAAATGAGATGAGCGGCGAAGCAGCAGTGACAGGATCTGGAGGGGCAAGGAAAACGTCACCGAGCTGCCCTATCCAACCCGACCCGTCGTAAGAACACAATCCCTTAACACCTCACCATTGACACCTTCAACTCCGCCCATCACGACGCAACGTACTCAGTTCAGAATCCGCGCAAGCTTGCTTGGTGTTCTTTGCTCTGTCCGCGTAAGTCTTTCCTTGGATTCCGTCCTGATAAATTTGGGGTTCCTCTCAACTATTGTATGCCCCATCCATCTGTATCCTTCTGGACGCGACCTGACTTTAAACTTTCAGCCCCTCATCAGTACCCCGCCTCCCCTTATTGACACAACAAACAACAAACAACAACCCATAATCTGTGATACCCAACAGCTCCTCTCTGGAGAAAGGTACCGAAAATGAATGTTTTCAAGCTAGCCAGGAAATACCCCGATCTCGGGCAGGAGGGTGTAATGAAACTCCAGGATACGTTTCTTCGTACAGATACCGAGGAACGAGGTTACCTCGATGAGGCAACCGCGATCAAGGCTGCTCAAGACCTCGAACGGAAATCTTACGATGTTGTCAGAGCTACATTGAAGCAAGTGGAGCTGGACAGTAGTAGAAGAGTGGAACTTGATGATTTTGTGGATGTAAGTAGTTCTACCTCGCGAGCATCTAATCATGACCTTGCGTTCGTTTTTACTGATATCGATATCACAGCTCATTGCCAAACTTCGCATTAATGACTCAGCGAAACCTGCCGGCCCTCAGGTTTCACATGCCAGAACTGGGTCCAAAGGTGGTGGACAGATCAAGATGGGAGGCTCAACTGGATCTTCAACTCATACAATCAATGAAGATGAGAGATCAGAATTCACAAGGCATATAAATGCTGTTTTGGCGGGGGATACAGACATTGGCGATCGTTTGCCCTTTGACACTGATACATTTCAGGTTTGTTGAAATCGGCGCCATTTAGTGATGACCATGACTAAAAAGGTGTATAGATGTTTGATGAATGTAAAGATGGTCTTGTGCTTGCTAAGCTTATCAATGACTCCGTCCCTGACACGATCGATGAGCGTGTTCTTAACCGTACCAATGCACGCACCAAAAAGCTCAACCAGTTTCATATGACTGAAAACAACAACATTGTCATCAACTCTGCTAAGGCTATTGGATGCTCTGTCGTCAATATTGGGTCTGGTGATATCATTGAGGTCAAGGAGCATTTGATTCTCGGATTGATCTGGCAAGTGATTAGAAGAGGTCTCTTGGGAAAGATTGATATCAAATTACACCCGGAGCTCTATAGGTTGCTGGAGGATGATGAGACTCTTGAACAGTTTTTGAGACTGCCACCAGAACAGATTCTCCTGAGGTGGTTCAACTACCATCTTAAAGCAGCGAAATGGGAGAGGAGGTATGAAGTTCGAGACATTTCTACGTTTCTTTTGAGATTGGCTTTAGTCTAACGAGTATTCCATGTTACAGGGTTACGAACTTCAGCAAAGACGTCTCAGATGCCGAGAATTATACTGTGCTCCTGAATCAGCTTGCCCCGGAGGAGTGCTCGCGGAATCCCCTACAAACTCGTGATCTCCTACAACGCGCTGAACAGGTACTCGAGAATGCCGACAAACTTGGTTGCCGCAAGTTCTTGACCCCGAAATCTCTTATTGCTGGTAACCCTAAACTTAACTTGGCTTTTGTGGCTCATCTCTTCAACACCCACCCCGGCCTTGATGCTATTACCGAGGAGGAAATGCTTGAAGTTGAAGATTTTGATGCCGAGGGCGAACGTGAAGCTCGTGTCTTTACTCTGTGGCTGAATTCTCTTGACGTTCAGCCTGCGGTCAACTCGCTCTTTGACGACCTCCGGGACGGAACTATTCTTCTTCAAGCATACGATAAAGTTATCCCAGGCTCAGTCAACTGGCGTCATGTGAACAAAGCTCCAGCACATGGAGGAGAACTTATGCGATTTAAGGCCGTCGAAAATACCAACTACGCCGTGGAGCTTGGCAAGAACAATCGATTCTCGCTTGTCGGAATACAGGGCGCAGACATCACGGATGGGCAACGAACATTGACACTTGCGATCACTTGGCAGCTTATGAGACGTGATATCACTCGCACCTTGCACGGCCTTGCGCAAAAGGTTGGCGTTAGTGAGATCACAGATTCTTACATGCTCAAGTGGGCCAATGATATGGCGCGTAAGGGTGGCAAAGCCGGTAACATCAGGAGCTTCAAGGACCCAAGCATGGGGACTGGTGTGTTTTTGCTTGATGTCCTGAATGGAATGAAGAGTAATTATGTCGATTACTCGCTTGTCACGGACGGGAGGACCGATGAGAATGCATACCTGAACGCGAAGCTGAGTATCTCTATTGCAAGAAAGATGGGCGCTACTATCTGGTATTTATCTCACCTTAATTGCCTTTTTTATAGCTGAAGAACGGACCTAACATCTTTTATATAGGCTTGTCCCCGAGGACATTGTTGCTGTTCGTTCGAGGTTGATTGTCACTTTCTTGGGTAGTTTGATGGCTACTTACGAAACCCTCTAAACACCTAATGTTTACTGCCGCTTGCTCTCAATATGTTGTTTAAGAATTTGCTTTTTCCTTCAAAAGGTTTGATGGAATAGCAGTTTTGTCTACATTGCTTATTATGATTGACCTGGACTATTGCTCTTCTTGCTATTACCAAAAATACTTACCCATTTCATTTTCAAATATTTATCTGTTGGGGCGGTTGTATTTGCGCCTGTTTATTCCGTTCAGTGCATGGTGATGTATGTAAAATTGAGGACCTCCCGAGTGACTGTTTGTGGCCATGAGTTACCCCATATTTAATCACGATTACATATAGCTTGGCTAGTACCGCAATAGCTCTGGAATCATTTGCAAATGGCTACATATATTTTCCCGCAGCACTACTCGCCAAAAAATAGTCTGTGGATGAATAAAGTACATAGTACTGTATGCAACGCAACCACTGTCAGGTACTTAATTCATCCACAGACTTTTATCTTTTTTGGCGAGTAATAATGCATGCGAGGAGGGCTTCGTACCAATTAAGGAAAGGAGAGGGTCTAACCGAGTGATATTATGTGAAGGTCTCGGCAAGACAACGCTATATGTGGTTTCCTGAACACGACTAGGTGAAAGTAAAAATGAGTGGAGTGTATAAGTGGTCAACTAACCTTTTCCATTTTATCTATATCCGAACAGTAAATATACAGTGATTTTCGGCTTAATAGTTAACCACATTCCAGTGCCCGCCTTACCATCAGTGGAAAGGGTGCTTTGGTATTGATATTAGTAGATTCTAGTTTACACGTTAAGTTCTAGGAGAAGCTGAAAGCGAGATTTTGGATCTCAGAATCTAGCTAATATAACAGCTGTATATGATAGGTAAGGCTGGGAAACTCTCTAGCCCATGGATCTTCCAATAAGATGGGGAACCGCTGGCATGTGATTGTATGCTTGTTTTAGAACCAACAAAAAGAAAGCTGCCAAAGTGAGGGAGAGTTATGTTTACCAAGATCACAGCAAGGGCTCGTGCACGATCCTCGAGGTTATATCTAGTAGGATGTGATGGAAGACAACATCTACCCATCGGTGAACTTTGACCATGTAGTACGACGGTACTGCAGAAATAACACTGGAAGCCACTCGATATTGATAAAATAATGATAACAAGACCTATAATCTATTAACCGGGTCCACATGACAATTATCGACCTTTCTGTGGAGGATATCCCGGTACTTTAATAATTATCTAAAAAAAAAAAAAAGTGACTTCTAAACACCTACTATCACTCGATACCCTTCCATACAAAATAAGATAATTGGTATAGCCGACACTAGCACTATTTCGTGGCCGTGTAATACCTTTTCGTAACAGTAGAATGAATGGAGGGTATTAAGAAGTACTAAAAGATTAAATAGAAAATATGTCAAAGTAGAAAGTAAGGTCGTGAACAAAATGAGAATAGTCAAGCAACACGCTTCAAAAACGCCTCAAGCGCTTTCGGAGAATACCGTGAACGTTTGTTACCTGACCAGCAGATTCCTTCTCGCCCATCGTCCATTTCGGTTTGTCTTCCCCTCTTTTTGATGGACATACATTTACCTCAAGTAGAGAGGGTGTATCGATTGTCTTCGAACCAAAACCCGAAAAAGGTGTTTCTATCGTCCTAGGGCTCGAACTGGAGGGCGAATGGATCTGAGATACACCAATGCTAGCGTCGAAGTAGCCTTTATATTCCGGCGAGGCAAATCTATCACTACAGCCTTGATTGTACACGTATGGCTTTGCAATCATATCCAGAAGGCCATTGGTGATTTCCGAATCTTCCGTCAGAGGCATACCATACAAGCCATGCTGGTCCGGGTCGTGGAAAGAGGCTACCGACTGTCTCCAATCGAACGGGGGATGTGATACTCTATCTAAAGGCGAATAAACCTTATCTCTCTCCTCAACAGCCTCCCTGAAAGGAGCTAAAATCTTCAGATAACACCGAGACACTTCATCTACTTCTGCAGAAACTTCAATAGCTGCAATACATTTCGCTGCATCAAAAAGGTCGTTCTGGTAGCTCATACGAGGTTCCCCAAGCATTTTCTTATGCGCGGCAGAGAAGAGCAAGATGACGCTTGCATTGAATGAAGAGCATCTGTCCTCGTCGGGTTAATAATCAAAGTTCCACTAGAAGTAAGCCGGGGAGGTCAAACATTGCCAACCAGCACTTTTTGAACAGACCGCCGTCCCATTCAGCATAGAGAAGCGCAAGAATCCCAGCAGTTTGTTTCGCGGCCGAAATGCACACACTGACGTAGGGCATGGAATCCTTTAGGGTGCCATCTACATAGCTGACCTTTCCACCCAGTACTCCAACCATGACTCTTCGTGTTAAAAGAATGATAGTCGAAAGATACATTATGTGAATCGTGAACACTGTCGTCCTCTCTCCTGGACCCACATCGGATCCAAGCATACTTGCAAGTCTCATCGAGTCAGGGAGATCATCAAACCAACCCTCTAATTCCAGCATGAATTCCCGTACAACTGAAAGGCTCACGGTTGAAGGAGCGAACACGTCCTTGAGGATTTTGGCGTTTAATATCCCGATCTTGAGAAGCTCGACTTGAATAGCATTGCGCTTGACAGGCCCTTGATTATCAAGTGCTTTTTCCTACATAAATAAATCAATATAGGCAAAAGCGGGGCAGGCTTTTATGGATCGTACCGATTCAGAAAGATCGACATTGTTGCATCTAAGGCTGTAGACCGGGATACGACCTAAAGATGCGGCTATCCAGCTGAAAAAATACTGTCAGAAGGTCCTTTAAGCTCGAGACTAGAAAAGCGAATCAAACCTTTCGAAAAATACCAAGGTTCTCCATAACCTTCTAAGTCCGACCCAGCACTTGAGTGATATGTTCTCAGGCTTTTGGGTGTATTGAAGACCTCTCGAGTATCCAATCTGCAGGGCATTTCCTGTTCGCTTGCTTTAGAAAAGGAGCACTTAATCCTCCCGCTTGTGAAAACTAACCAATATAGCTATAACTTGATATCCGCTTCTCAGACATCAAAAACAATGAGCACAGTCCAAGTATCCTCATCCCTCTCAAATCATCCTCCTCCAAACAATCATCCAAATGTGCCTTGGTGGTATTGAAATAGCAATGTATGGTCTCGGTAGGAACTCGCTCTTCCCATTGAGATCCCACTGCAGCTGCAGCAAAGAGCTCACATAGGTCTGATGAAGAAGAGCTTCCAGAGTACACATTTTCCAGTAGCTCTCTCGCCTCATCTTCGTGGGTGAAGTGCAAGTGCAGAGAGGCCGATTGTATTTGAAATAACCCTTCAATGGCCATCAATGTTGTCTCGTAAGGCGGTAGGTTATCATGGGTAAATATCTTGAAAGTCTGAGTTGATTGCCACTTGAATTCATCGTTTGATTTGGGCCGGAAGTTCTCCGGAAGAAGTCCCACCAGTTCTTTAGATAGAGAGAACTCGGAGGATTCGGTCAGAGGGTTTAGGTTCTCGGGTGTCTTTGTACTGATCATACTGTGTTCTGAAATTTTTGAACAAGGTTCGGGATCATTTAAGCTTTTTGAAGGCGAGGTTTTCGACAGTGATTCCCTCTGCACTAAGGTCCGTGGAGCTTCATTGCAGATCCGCAGAATTGAGGTAGGGACTTTGACCATCTTAGTGAGATGGGCCCTTGAGGTCACTTCCTCAAGTCTCCGCTAACCAGAATGTGGGGCAGGGCAGAAATTTATGGCGGGATAGATAAGGTATCTGGAGCTAGATCAAAAAAGTTAAGATCCAGACTAAAGGTTGGGTAGACTCCCATTTTCCGCGGGCAAGGGAAAAGCTCACTTGAAGTAGATGAAATGCGCAGATTAACTTTTCAATATTTTAGTGGAGAGATGCAATGATGTCACTGTGACAGGCTGAGATTCGGGTGCCCTTTTGGCACAGGGCAAATTTACTGGATGAGGGTTTTCTTTTGGCCCAGATAGGGTCAGCAGCGAGAAACCCCGACCCGCCAGCGAGATGATCCAATCACAGCTTCAACAAACATTAAGACGGGGGCAAATCTCGCCAGCCGTCCTTAGCGGTGTGTACTATGGGTAAGTTTACCATTAAACGGGGTGGTTCTCGAGTTATTACTGGGAACAGAAGCTTTTTTTTAGTCGGTTGCAACTTTCATTATCTTCCCATACAAAAATCGCCAAGATAAAATGTACATACACGTACATATGATGTCTCGCGAATATGCTTGGTAATATCGGCTGCTAGGCCAGATTCATGTAATTGATACTAAAGAGAACGCATCCCAGACTTACCATCCCTGACTTTGAATAACTGTTTGCTCCGACTTGGCAGCTTGTCAAATGTTGCAACGGTGGTGCGTTTACTACATACATAAGGTGACAGAACACCCAAATCCTTACAACACACACCGAACCCCGAGATCCTGACTACAAACCCCCTTACAGATAAGCTGAAGATTACATACATGTACGAGTATGTATGTCTCGCAGAGCCCGTCTCCAATCGCGTGAGTTGAGCAAGCAATCTTCTATTGGTCCTTTGACCACACTCACAGGGATTATGGTCTTCATTTAAGACAATACTATAGTTACAACCCGCACCCCTAGTATTGTGGGCAAACAATATTGACCCATGGACACCTAGTATTGTGGGCAAACAATATTGACCCATGGACACCGAGTTGTTATGTAAGAAGCTCACCTGGATAGCCTTATTCCTAGTCTTGAGCTCTCAAAACCTCCACGTATCCGCCATTAGCGACCAAAAAACCCTACCTACATGTATATAGTTGCATTTAATTAAATGTAGGCAACGGTCAAAACCCCGAAGATATGTGTGCGATTAGTATTAAATATATCGGTAGAACAGCTGATAAACGGCACTCACCGGTACCTTCTAGCGGCAAGTATCCTTTGTGGCATAATGGCAGGTCTAGGTCATGAAGAAAGGCTGGTTAAGCGAAGAGTTTTTAAACATCCGCCGTATATAATCATGCTCATGCAATATCACTCGCACATCCGAAAGGCATCTGTGGCCTTTCCAGCCTGCAGATCTACCGTCCCGCCTAAGAAACAGGGACCACTACTATTCCATTTCATCACGCCTGACCCGCCATCTCATCCTCATGGATACCCTCAATTCATCTTTCATCCTCGACGTCAACCCGGCTCCTCCCAAGTACATCGTGGGAGTTGGAGTTTTCCGCAAAGGCCCGAGTTACGAAGCTGATGCTAGTGGAAGCAAAAAGTACCAACCCTACATATTTCAAAGCTCAGTCTTGGTCCCGGGGAATCACTGCTCCTTCCCGACTCCTGGTTTGGGTCTTCAGTTCCGAATATACTGTCCTTTTGATTCGCCCTTGGAATGCCCACCGTATTCCCACGCATGCCCCGTTAAATCGCTTATCTTCTCATCCGAAGGGCCAGAAGGTCTTCCTACTGTGCAGGGAGATGGACCGTTGGGAAACGGGCCATTCGTTATCTTTAGAAATGACTACAGACCGCTACAGCCAAAACAGGTGCAGGTACTCTGGAAATATCTCCGGAACTTCAAGTTTGGAACAGACCCCACCGATAGTAATGGTCTTATGCTTTATGGCCAACCTCTACTTTCAGAAAATAGGCATCACAGATTGCCCTTACGACGTGGAAGGAATAGAGTTGCGGATACTATCCACGGAGAAACGTGGTACTATGAAGATTTCATGAGGTCGTACTTTACGATTAACAACTTTCACGCGTTCTTCCATGTTACTAGGCATCGACGGTTAAGTGGAGGAGATGAGAGCTGGAGAGACATTCATTCGCCTTACGATGATGAGTAGAATCGATACAGTGAGAGGTATTACTACGGTCAAATGGGTTGTGCGACACGGCTATGGATTTTTCATTTTCATTTTTTCCTTTCAGTTTAACCTCCAACTCTTAGGCAGAAAGAGACCTGACAGCGGGTGTTATTCAGGCGTCATTCATGAATTCTGTATTGATATTTATTTCTCAATTCAGACATCTGTTCCCTTTCTGTCAGAAAGATCTACTGCAAGACTTCTCGAAGTGTACCTACGAAACACAAACCCGAGTATTTTTATCCGAAAAAGCCACTGGTACACGTCGTCTAGTCGCATTGCGGTAATTCATCGACAGTGCCACGTCAAATATAGACCCGTTGTTGCATACACATACATGTAATGTATGTGGGGCAGTGGAAGAAGTGGGAATCTCATAGATGGGGGTTTCATGAACACGTGTGCCCGAGTGATTTGCTGTGATTACAAAATATCATTGTAACCCACCTTACGTTATCAAAATGTGTCAATCAGCTGATCACCACTGAGTGGTTTTTTTCTTTCAGTTGGGTTCAACTTTCCTTTTAAATTCAGTCCGGTACAGTTGGGTTTTATCCAAGGACACTACTGTAAGGATTAATTGCAAAAGTCATCCCTGATCTGAATCATTCCCACATATCCTCGGTTAGAAATCCGCGTCTGACAGACCGGCGACGGGTACGGCTCCCTCAGCCGTTCTTAGGACTATTGGAAGCGGCAATCGAAAGCCCAATCCTGTGGAACGGGGTCATGGATAGAAGATACTGTCAACGAAGATTATTCACTGGATTCTTAGCTTCACCGCCGTTCATAGCCTCTTAAACCTTCCTCCTAGTACTCCGAGTGAGAACTCATGATCAACAGCATCATCAATTGCGGTGTGTATCATGATGATATCTTGCTAGTTCACCGCTCAAACAAATGTCTAGCTAGCTCTTAAAGTCCTATCGAGTATGTACCCCACCCCTCAGAATGAAAATAAAAAGTATATGGAAAGGGAAGACTCCCCAATAAACTTGTACCTCGGTCCGTGAATTTACTCGTCAATCCTGACACTGCTCCACTGCTTTCCTTTCAGGTTCCCTACTGCCTTCTTCATGACTCGCTGCCTTGACAGGAGCTGTGAGATGACAAAATGGTTTACGTCTTCGTCGCCCCAATAACTGAGATGACTCGCAATGCTTGCAATCAAGCTTATATCAAACACGCCCCTGTTCCGTTCTTTTATTAAACGCATTGCTCACCGGAAATCGGAAATTGATGAGAAAACTCACTCCTGAATCGCAAAATCGATCCTCCCCGTCGCATTCAATGCCCTCACTTTGGCCTCCTCTCCCTTCAGCTGTGCTGCCTTCTCCTCAGCCTCTAACCTCTCCTCCTCACCTTCACCCTCTTCCCCCTCTACCGCCGACTTTCGTCTCTTTTGGAACCCTGCATACAGTGTCTCGATCTCATCGTCAATCAGCGTCGGCGGATGCTGCTGGCTATCCTCGCCCGGTACTGACGGTGGCTTCTTGTCTGTATCAGTGACCTTAATGCTGGACGTTGACTGCGGAAGGTTCGTATCATTAAAGCCTAGTGAACGATTTAAGATACTTGACGCAATTCCAGACGATAGGGATGTCCACATGTTGCTGACGCTACGCGAAACACTCTGCCCAATACCACTGATGCCACCAACGAGCTGGCCGGACGAGAAAATACCACGCTTGGTGTATGGGAGAGGCTGCGGCTTCAATGACGCCATAGCCTTGGAGACGAGGGGTTCGATGCGATATGAGATTGGGTCTGTGGGGTGGAAAATATTGAATAGCTGTTGACATTTTGGGGAGCTCACTGGAAATAGGGAGCCTCCATGATAGTGTGGTACCGCTGCTGAGGCGGCAGAAGCGTGGTAGTTCTCCGGTTCGTCGCCTATCGTTTCCGGAATAAGGTCACCATCGTAAAACTTTCTCGAGGCGATGGTGCGTCCTTTGAGCATTTGAAAAAGGCCGATCGGGGATCCAAGACAGAAGAAGGATTCGATAGGGAAGTCTAGGATGACGTCTGGCTTCCCCGAGGCCATCGCGGGGCGGGTATCGTTTGTGAGGGGCTGGCGACAGAGGATGTCGAATAGAATTGCAGAGCCGAGGGAGTGGCCGACAAGGGAGACTTTGCCTTTGAAAGAGGGGTTGCGCTGCTTGAAGAGTTTGTAAATGCGGTTGCACTCGGTGAGGACGGTTTGGATGATGTGTTCTCTATACGTTGCGGATTGGTATAGCAGGACATCGAGGGCGAGGTCGGTCATGAGGGAGCGGACTGCAGGGACACCCTCGACGGTTATGTCCGCTAATGATGGATACTCGTCTTCATAGCCTGTAGAACCGGAGGAGAGATCGGTTTCTTGACGGTTGGTGCGCAGTGATTGTTTGGGGAAGTCGAGGAGGTGGCGCCAGCAGACGGGGAGACATTGTACCTTGCAGTTTTTCTTCTTCTCTTCAACTTCGTCGTTGAGAACTTGTAAATCTGGTGAGAGTGAGTATACACTTTTCAGCGTCTTGCGAAACACATTGACATCGTGCACAAAGTTCACACTTTCCATGCGCATAGACAGCTTCTGTCCAATTCCATGTGTCACCAGTAATAAGTGCTCAATTTCTCGCTCGGGATCATCAATTTCCTCGTCAGCCGTGTAGTCTTCCTTCATCTCCGTTTCCAGCATCTCGTCCTGTGTCTTTTCTTCCCCTGTCCCTTCACCAATGACAAGGGAGGACATTCTCCGTTCGAGCTCGCGGCGGTGAGTCTGTTCGGAAATGTCCCCCTCGGTACCTGGAGACGGAGTTCTAGGAGGCGGCATGGATCTTCGTTTGTACTTCTTTTCCATCTCTTCCTTCTCCTTTTTCTCCTTTTCCCCCTGTACCGGCGTCATAGGCCTACTTGAATCCTTCTTTTCTGTCCTGACACCCTCCGAATAGCCCCTCACAAGCTTCTGGCTCCCCAGAACCGTCGACGAAAGCTTTCCATAGAAGTCATCGCTCCTCAGTAGTGCCGTGTTAGGGTCAACATAAACCACAAAGCTATTCAGGTGAGCACCAAACAATCTCCATTGAGGTAGTGGAGCTGCCGTAAGTGCCGGTTGGTCTTTATTCGGTGTTACAGGGCGTTGGGGGTCTTCCGGGGGTGCAAGGTTATCCAGGACCTTCTTCGCAAGCTGCGACGTTAGCGGGTCTGGCTTCGCAGGGTTGTTACGGAACGGCTTGATACGCAGATATCCCTCCTCGATCTGCGTCGCCAAGTTCTCGTCGCATGGCCGGAGCGAATTGCCCTCTACGCGCCGTCCCTGTTAGCTAGAAACTCATCTATAGTTTCTTAGCTAGCCAGCCAGCTACCTACCTTGGAAGAACCAAGTACCCCGCCTCACATCATACGCTGGACCAAGCCAATATACGGGCGCCAACTCTCGCTTCTTGATATCCACATCGAATAAGTAATCCTCGTTCACAGGTACCTGAACACTCTCTTCCAGCTTGACCTTATGAGAACTGTCCTCGAGATGCCGGCTGTATGCCGAGGACTCCTTGTCAATTGCATCTTCTTCCTCGGAGAGCTTCTGGAATGCCGCCTCGATTGCGCGCGAGTCACGCGCGGCGAAGGAGACGAACTTAGAAGGGAGCTTGGGCGGCTTTGCTGGTGCACCTGCTGCGGCGGGCTCGTTGGGCTGGAACGGTTTGCGTTTTGGGACCTGAAGTGGGGGTTAGTTAGTTGCAGTGTGAGGGAATGGCAAGAGCTTAATTACGTCGACAGCGTAGTACCAGCGGACTTGGAGAGGTGGGCAGTCAGGTGGGTACTCTTTCTGAGAGAGACGATGTCTAAACGTAGAAACGGTATGGTCGTTTGCAGCTTGCTGGGGCGGGCGTGGTGTTGTAGATCTTGATGATGGAGAGCTTCTCTCTCGGGTCCTTTGGGGTGATGACATTTGGGCCTGCTGCGGTTGTAGTGGTGGTGTTGGTGTTGGCGGTGGTGGTTGTGATTGGGGTGTGGGTTGTTGCGGTTTACTGCTCGTGGCCATAGGCTCCGGGGGCAGGTAAATTCGCTTTGTGAGCCGCACAAGACGGCTTACGAGGAGTGGGAGTTTGGCCAATGCTACTGTTTATGTGGTGTAATTGATAAGCTGAGAGTAAGATTATGATTAATTTACAATATTATTATCAGGCGAGGGGTGGGACATGGAGAGCAGAAGGAAGGGGGGGGTGGGGGGGTGGAGGGGTGGAAAGGTGGGAGGGATGGATGAGGAGGGGATGTTGCAGCTGGGGAAATGGCATGGGGGTGACTTATGACGCAGGGCACGTGCTAAGCTTGGCAGGAGAATGATGATAATGAGAATTATAAACTACATATTATTAGGAAAACTTTTCTAGAGTGTTGGTTATTATCGAAGGTTTTACAAGAAATCGTTACGAGTGGGAGGTTTGTCTTTGGGCGAGTGTTGTGTTGCGAATCTGTGTCTCATAATCAGATTCAAAGTTACCCGAGTGATTTATAGTGATCCAACCTGGAATAATGATATTACTGGTGTTATATGTATCAATAGGACCATTATCTACACGTACATGTATGATCTAGTGTTACCGATGACGATAGATCTAGGTGGTTGTAGCTAGCTTTCCTAATGAAGGGGAATCGATAATTCATATAATTATAGCTTTCGGCATAAAAACAAGTCACTTGTGGCAGCAAATGATGTGAATATATATGTGGCACATTGGTAACCTTATGTAATTGCTCGGATGTTATGTACATACATGTAGGGAATTTGATAACCCTAATGGTTAAGTACATGTATACACACGATGACATACATGTGCATACATGTACCTAGAAAATACCTATGGTTACAGCTGGTTCAATAATACTACATGTAGGTTCAATTGATTTTCACGCACATACAGCGAGATTCTTTAAACCCTGAATAATAACCTACTTAGCTATAGGAAATCCGTGCCTAAAGTTCTCAAGTGATTGCCTGACAAGGTAATTCCAATTACCAAGATAACCTATTATATGTATCTTTCGCGAATCATAGTATACTGTGAGTGAGAGGGTTGTCTAGGTCTAGTATTATGAGATCAGCTGTAATCTTATGAGGCTGTGTATTTATTCTCATGGCGCTCCTTCTGTTCCCCTCACTCTCCTCTTAGTTCAGCTTCCTTCCTTTCCTCTTTATATATATCCATCACTCAAATCAATCCGAAAAATTGACCTCCGGTACCTCAATTCATATTCATCTATATAGCGTAAAGCTCGACACAAAGAGCCAACCAAGTGATCTCTCATACTTTCACTGTAAGTTCAAATCTCTAATTAACCTATCATCTAAAACTAAGGTACTAATCAATTGATAAGGAGATCTAAACTTGCTTTAAGGCTTTTAAAAGATCACGGGCCAACTCAACTGCTTTCTTCTTCGTACAGCTTGATGCCTAGGAAATCGAAAATTTCCGACTATAAGTATTATTCACTACTCCTCATGCTCATGATACCCGATCAGCGACCTCATCGACTAGCTAACTAAACGCTGTGGTGCAGGTTATGCGTAAACATGTTGGGACACGGGTCAGCGGTTACGTTCGTTTCCCAAACTGTATATAAACTAGGCTACAGCACCATAGCAATCCAACCATCATCACTCCTCCATACTCCCATCAGCGCATAACCTATGATAGCGAGATCACGAACCCGAACAGCCTGAAAACGCTTTGTAAAGACTTCTAGCCCCAATAATGGAGGTTAACCGGGATACTTTGAATTCAACTCTGCTAGTTGACACAGCTCCAGTCCTCTTAAAGTTTCAGGCATCCCCATTAGGACCTAATGCTTCGAGCTGAGAGATCCTGGGACATTGTGTCCAGAAGGCTCTACAGTACTGTAGAGTATACTTTGGCCGGCTTCGATAACCAGCACTGGAGACAGCCTCTATATTCGTGGGGTATTAAAATGTATGTTCTTTATCAATTTCCTTCTTATCTTTTTAGGGTGTTTTTTTAAACTCTCTTCAGTTATCTAGGGTCATAGATGAGCGCTAGATGGAAGCTCGATACTGCTCCCTAGTCGTAGGATACCTCCCGGGGACTATCAAGATCTCCCTACGGTTCTTAATCAGGATTGATAGAACCAATAGTATTAGAGGCGCGTTTGGTTTGGGCTGCTCCTCTGGAGTTTCAAAGTGAGTAATTCACGCATCCAATCCAACTCTCGTGCTCATAGTGCAGTATCCGTGTATAAGTGCCTAGAAGTATATACAGAGTGAAAAGGCTTAACAGCTTAGCTAGCAGCAATAGGCGATAAAGCTGATGAGGCGGAGAAAGAGCTTATGTAGCGAGAAGACCAGGTTGTAGTTAGACAGAGGTGGCAACAAGAGAGAAGGTTGTGTGTTAAGAGGTGAAAGGCTCTCCTTCCCTCGAGTTTAGAATCATCACGAATAGAAGTAGTCATCGATTATAAGATACTTCACAATATAGCCTCAAAGCTTATCGCTCCTTAAAGACGGTAAACCTGATTTCCTTACTTCATCAAACTTTGACTACTCAAGTCATCTTTATGGTGGATCGGAAGTGGATGGGCTAGCGCTGGAGAACTCATATTTTCTTGGTCGCTTCCTCCGTCCGCTCAGAGCCTCTATGGCCATGTAGCTATCGCTGAGATTCTGGCTGCTCTAGCCGGTCTCCTATTCAATTGGCATAGGCAGCTAATATTAGCAGTCTTCTTGTCTAGTGAGATGGTTTGGGAAGACTTTACTCCTTTAAATCCTTTATAATTAGTAGGAGTGAATATCAAAGGAGTGGCCGCGGATCATCCAAATGGTAACAATTCATTCCCTACCCGTCGTTAAATCCCGATGCGGAGCGCAATTAGTAACAACGGACCAACACACTAAACCGCATCTATAGTAAATCTCATAGACATTGAGCACTTATTCCAATGTATGCTCCTCTATAACCCACCATTTTTACCTGCACAAATGCTAACTTGGCCAGTTTTCATAGCCTATTAGATGTCATTAGGAATTTGGTGATCCAAAGCCCGTAACCTTGATTGATTTCGACTGGTTTACCCAAGGGTACATACGCAAGATCCGTTACGAGACCCAAGTGTTTTTACATTTAGTAACGTACATGTAGCTATCATATCACTCGCTACGGTTATTTGAGCGGCTTTAGACAGCCGCTTGCCTATATTTTAAAGGATAAAATACAGAATTTACGGTATTTTTCACCATCAGATACATAATCACCGCCATCTTGATCCACACACTAATGATTTGCAACGCATTTTTGTTAAGCGGGTGAACACCACAATGATTTGCAGCAGTACGTATACAGTTCTGTTCACGGTTGCGACCACGCCCTACCCTATTTACCAGTACATGATAGGACAGTTCTAATAGTACAGGCCTCCGTAATATGCCTTTTCAAGCTGTTTTTCTTTGTCTTGATGCGGTCGATGAATTTATCGAAGCCGGCGCGCATTTGTTTCATAGTTTATTCGGATTGCCAATCGACTCTACCACGATATTTCTTACCCCGTTGGTATCCATGGGCAGCTCCCTTAGCTTGATCAATGCATCGTTGTTTTGTGAGAGCAAGAAGGTTTGTTTAATTTATCAAACTATTGTTTTTAGAAATGTCTTCATATTCATCTGCCATTAACCAACCCTGCCCCATTATATCTGCTAACCAGCTAGTCGCGTTTCCTAATATTTAAAAATCCATAAAAAAAGAATAAAGTCTCAGGACATGAGCTATGCGTGCAACTATGCGAAAGCACAAAAGAAGATTAAAACACCGACCCATGCCAGTAAATACATATATGCGAATCAGAAGCAAATCAGAAACAAAACATGATTTCAATGATACCCGAAAACCAGGGCTTAATAGTTGGTAATCTCGACGATAGCCGGACCGGCAATGGTGTTGTCATCGGTAACTCCGGTGTTGGAGCTAGTTAAAATCACATAGCTCTGACCGTTAACGCCCTTAGGAACGACGACAGTAAACTTGTCGCCCTTCTTCTCGACCTTAACAAAGATCGGGCCCGTAACTGTCATGAAAGCAGCGTAAATGCAATCGTGATCATACGTATGGGTGGCAGCAGCAGTGGACAAATAAATGGTGCTTCCAGCTTTGACTTCAGGTTCGCCCTCGGCGGGCACAAAGGTCAGAGCAGGGAAAGCTTTGAATGGTAGCATTGGCTGATCCGCGGGGCATTCAACGATGAACTGAACGGCGAGAGAAAACACTTGGTTGAAGCTCAGAGGAGTGTCGAATGGCTGAGGGAATGGTGCTTGCTTATTTGCAGCACGTATGTACGAAGAATGGCGGGCCTCTACGGTGAGGATTGAACCAGCGGCAGTCAGGTAAGCCTTTTCCATGATGCTTGCGGCAGCACCTGTAGCCATTGTTAGTATTCAATAATTATAAATAAGGAATAAATAAAGGGAGCCAGAGCGGGATCTGACATACCAAGATAAGCACTGACACCAACACCCTCAAGAATACCACTAACCATGACAAATTCCTCAGGAGTGCTCCCGGGGAATTTGTATGTGCACGGTTTGACTGGGACTGCTCCTGCGGCGGTAAGACCCTTTTGGAGAAAGTCTACGTGGGTTTCTTCATCACTGCTGATGATAACCAGATTCTCATAAAACTCGCTAGTGAAGCCGGCGTCCGTGAAGTCTTTCTTGGTAAACTTCTTGAGCCCTTCAGCGTAAAAGGCATTCTCGAGGTGCTCAAGTGTAAGGGCACTATGTTACAATTAGTATGATAGCCCTGGCGATAAAATTGTAAAGAAATATTATAGCAGGGCAAGACAAACTAGTTGAGAATATCACCATCAGTGATAGGAGCTTGTCTGGCAGCGAGAGGAGCACCAGAAACGGCCTGGAATCCCATGGCAGCAGCGATAGTCATAACTCCAGTGGAGAACTTCATTTTGGTGTCTATAAAGGGTTTTTGTAGGTGAACTAAAGAGAACGAGTTCTGAGAGCTTGAAAGAGGATGAAAAAGATGGTGAGAGGAGGGCACGAGTGATGATGTTCGTAGACTGATGGGTAGTAAGGATGGAAGCTTAGAGAGGAGGATTGCTACAGCTTATATACTTCTTCTTCTTTGACCAGATATGTGATTATAAAATCAAGTGATCTACGTATACAGTTTTCTTTCATTAAAACACATATGCTGCATCCACGCGGTCCTCTATCGAGGTATTCCAAATTCCATGAGCTACGAATATTTGTCCCTCTTAAAATCACGCATGTCTTACATTGAATCTTGACTAATTTCCGCTGTGAGCACACTAGCTTCGATATCCTTACTTGTCGATAATAGGCCAACATACTGCATGCATCATTGTCACCGGAGATATCGCTAGGCATGGAGTACAGATTTGGAACATTCCGTCTCTCCCCCCCCCCCAAAAAAAAACCCATAAGAAGTGAATTCTACGGATTCCTGGCTGTAAATCTTGGGCCGTGCGCTCGCATATGATCCGAGCTATGTTACAGTCTACATGAGTAAGCAATAAACGCTTGCATAGCCCATTAAAGGCCCGCTAGTATGGAACATATGCATAGAAACACGAAATCATGGGAACCCCCAAAGCAGCACGCATACTCGTTTCCAGAGATTAAAAGGTTGTCTTTGGGAATGAAACAGCTACGTACATGCCAAGTTATATGATCTAATGCATACCCTTACGTCGATATACTTATTTTATGCAGGTACAGTTTAAACTCCCAAATTAAAGGGTGCATAAACGCAGAGTGTTTGTGTTCAGTGTAAGTAGCCCATAGATCTAGTATGGGTCCATATTTAATAATTGAATAGAGAAGTAATCCGCGTGGACGTGCTCCTGGTGGGATTGTGGAGGGTCCTGAAGATCACGCACGTATGGGCCGGGCTGGATAGAGAATGAAGATAGGGGGCCAGTAAGTGACACCCTCTGTTTTTTCCCTGCGCTAACACATGATCTTCATTCGGTAGTTGAAGTGAAACCCACTAAAAGGTCAAGCTTCCGCCCCGATCCCCCGTTAATCATCATAAACAAAGTTAATCTCAGACATGACGTTGGTAAAGCTTGGCTATGAACCACACTATGTACGTCCGGTAAAAGATAGGCGGTGCGACAACGCTAAAATCCATTATTTGGAATTGATTTGTTAGTGTGCACTTGTAAGACATGGAATCGGCGCGCTCCTCCTGGCTGAGCACCGATCTTGGGATGGATATTGATCTTCGTAAGTTATAATTAAGTTAGGGTTGACTGCATCCACAACAAACTCCGGCGTAACGCAACATAATTTAGCTGGCAAACCACCATTGAGGTAAGCGCTCCAGCACAATCTCGATATCCGACCTTATAACGCTTATGGCAGTACTCTAACTACATACATGTACCGTTCAACGCTATCTAGCACATGTACATGTACCTACATAACAGCATGGCCCGAAGTTTTGTAGCCATATTTGAGCGCTCGAAGCTTAATACATGGCTTTCGGGGACATCAGGCTTTTCTGCATTGTTCTCTTCAAGGAGGTTGGTATAATCGGGTTACACAAATAACTACAGTACGAAAAAACGGGGGTGAAATCAGTACTGTATGACTACGGGATTTAGTCATTACAAAAAGAATACCGTAGTAATGCTGTATTCTTGCTCCATTACTAGCGCATTAACGGGAATAACGTAGCGAATTCATACCATTTTTTGGTATTGTACCCACCTACGTAAAGTAGCAAGCAGCGCACGTGGCAATCATATCATACAAAAATAGTGCAACTTTGAAGGTTTTCCGTGACTGCTCTGATGAGTGTATTCATGAGCCTCTGGTTAATCCGGATTTTGTAAGATAATGTAGTCTCCTAATCCGTTGACTGTACTTACATATCGAAGTTTATTTTTTATTGGTAATACGAAACTCCTATTAATTAATTCGATCTGAAATATAGGCACGGTGTGTTATTGTACGGATAAAAGATAGAGGGAAGCGTGGATAGATATAAGAACTTGAGAAGCATGTATTTAGAGGCTTCAGATCATCTGGTAGAGGAGTGGTGGGGACGTCTCCCAGATTCTACCCTAAATCAATTGAGTAAACTTGATCTGGGGAGTCAATCAATTCAGATCGTTATTTACTACAACCTGATATATCGGCCTAGATACACTCAGAATGGCTACGGAAAATCTGCTCAAAGCATAATTTCATCTCTGGATTGATAGAGCCTTATACATATATGCCATCCCCTATTATAGAATTCGGGGTAGGCTTCCCAGACGTGATACCGGTGGGCCCAACCTACATGCAGTAATACTCTTTTCCCGTGTAAGTTTGGATGCACAGTTAAGTATTCTTGTAACGCAACATTACCTTGATTTGTACTCTGTATTATAAGCCGCTCTTGTCTACACGTGTACATATCTCTGTGCCTACGTATACGTACATCAACTTCGACCTGGCTTCAAAAGCGGAAACTTGGCCAGATTTAGATCAATCACGGGTCGTTTGGGTGGTTTTTACATCGACTGAGGAAGTCGCGATCGCCTTTACCTAGAGTTAACTTTCTCATCGGCCCATAGGGGTCGGTTTCGCTGTACAGTATTCATCATCTTACTAATTACATATCGGTACCGGCATTAGGAATCATAACCCCGAATTGGGCACATCTAGTACTACTCCAATTTCCTAAACCCAGCACAAGCACAATCGATGCGACCCATTCATTGGAAGCCTGTATGACGAAGATTCTCAAATTAACAGCAACATTACTTTGATTAAACGGTAAATGTGACGTTATATACTATCATTTTGGGTGGGAAAGACCCGAACACTATCTCAGTCTCGACCTCCCAAAGAATTCGGGTGTAAATGACTTGAATGCCATGTTTAAAAACCTAGCCAGCGTCAATCACAGATTTTTGGAACAACAGGCGTACTGGGCATAATGGAAGTATTTGTATTGTAGATCTAGATTACACTGCATTTGAAGTACGGGTTGTTAGTTAAATCAAGCATCACTGGCCGTCCAGAAAAGTGATTGTAATATCCGGATTATTAAAATTCGTGTTACATGAAGTACTTCAAGAAAATGAGCTAACAACAGTCTATCAAAAAAAAGAGTTATGGTATTAACTGCGCCTTAAAGCTAGGACCCGTGGTATATAAGATCTTTGATCATTTAATGTTAATTAAGTTGTCGGTTTATACAATCATAGCCAGCCAGTGCAGTGCATGTAGTTTAAAAATTCTTTTAATTTTTCTTCAGTACATACTCTACGCGTACTGATATATTCATAACTGCAACAATGCTTTTTGCCTGATTGGTAGGGATCACAACACGTACTCGGTAGTTCATAGCGTTTCCGAACACGACCGATATTGCATGACATACCAAAAGGTGGATTTGGCGCTTTTTTATATGGTATGCAATAGCGGTCGTGTTCGGAAACGTCATGAATTTACGAGTACATACCAACGAATTCGCGAATCAGCGGCACGAAATCATACATGTAATATCGATGCCCCGTGTCAAAACATGTAGGTACTCGAGTGTATGAAAAAATATTTGATAAACCTGGCCTTTACTACAGCGACAGGTAATAAGTGATGGAACGCCCTGAGATACAGTTATACCTGCAAACACCATATGTTGGTGGCGTTTTACCCAAAGCAGGTATCACTCTGTCTCAGGGCGTCCCATCACCTATTACCAACTGCTGTACTCGGGGTAGGTAAGAACTTTCGGTGGTAACGGTCTCTAATTCAGTACAAATTGAGCCCCCTGCTTAATGCTTACAGCTTGTATTTTCAAGTTCTTCTATCCTGTCCCAAGTATCTTCTTCGTCATTTCCCATTACCGCAAAAGGGAATCAGGTTGGGGCTTGTTAAGGGAGCGTAGCTAATTCCAAAATAGGATCGTGCCAGCCTTCTTTACAGAGAAACCTATTTCAAGCGCATCTTCTCTTCTACATTCTTAAATACACCCTCTACCTTAAGATGTTAAAATAATATGTTCTTGAAACTCTTCAGCAGTTAGTCTATCGAGCAGCCAAAATACTGATACTCGTCTCCCCCATTACAACAATATGGCCCTAATTATGAAGGCGTGTTAGCAAAAACAGCCATAGTTACAGAGAATATTGTTCAAATGCCATATGAAATTTTAACAGATTAGATCCGACTCATTTTGCAAATACTTCGTGATCCTTTAATCCTACACATGGTTGAGGGTTTTAAAGCATAAGAAGAAAAGGCGATAAATTAAACTTATGGTAAAGGTCCTTAGACCTGTAGAGTTAAACAAGGTACGTAATGCATTATCAAGAAGAAAAGAATAAAAAATAAAGGCTAATGTAGTAAGCTGTGGTGCTATATATAAAAAGCATGAGTACTAACGAGAGAAATATGCATGTCTAATACCATAAACCATAGATACGCCTTTTCGACTTTCAACAAGAAATAAAGAAACGTTCAAACCAGGCCTAAACTCCCGTCTTTGACTCTCCTTCTACTCTTTGTGAACTACTCTCCTCCATCTCTTTGTTCATCAATAATACGGACTGATAATTCACCTTATGCGCAAGAGCATTTCTAATATCTTCCATGCTCCTGTTCTTCCAACTGTCATAACCCCCGGTTGAGTACGGCGACAGTGGCTTGTTATTTTCATTTTTGATCCAGCTGTCGCAATTTGGTGAAGGCATGGAAGTGAGTATATTCAAGTCCATCTTGAGTCCCTCACAATATCGGTCAAGATCAAGATCATTCACATCTGTACCAAAGGGATTCTCAATCTCTAGACCAATAGCCGCAATACCAAGGATGATATACGCAGCTACAAGGGTCCCTGGGATAGCAACCCATCCAAGTTTTGGGAACAGCTGGAACGGCAACATCAAGACATACAGCCACGTGATCTGTGAGATGGCGATTGAA